CTCAACCAAAAGTGCTTGCATCAAACACTGACAAAGGGTGCGAGCAGGAAAGGGATGTGGTTTAAAATAGGCGATTCTGACTTTGAGGCCCTGTTTAAGGTTATTACTAATACTAGAATGTGTAATTCCATGAAAAAGTGCGCAAAATTCCTCCATACCGGAGCACTAGAAGCACTCCACTGTGCCAAATTGAAGTATTTGCCGAAAAGGAAAGCTTTTTCTATGGATTCTACTATCGTCCTGATGATGCTGGTCTGTATTGAGCACAACGAAAACCTGAGAATAGGGACGACTTCAAAACCAAGGACTAAAGTTGCCTACTCAAGAGCTCAAAAACAATATGTTTTGAAAAATAACTATTTTAGAGACAATATTTCGTACAAGAAGTCATTTTTAGAACTTGTTCAAAACCATGTTAAAAGCAATACCAAGCTTCCTATTGACCTAGGTAGATATAAGCGTAAGGTTGTGCCGAAAAGGTTTCATACTGCTGAGAAACCTAGCAAAGTGTTGTTAGAGCAGAAAAGATTGAGCAGAATGGGAAAATAGATCATATAGCTAGCTATATAGTGACTTTGATTATATTTTTAGGTATCTCAAGATTCTTATGATCTACTAATTTGAACCATTTGTGTCGGTTAATTAAGCTCTTTTTATTGTCTAACTCTAAAGTTGTGTATTATGTCCAATTTCTACCTGTAAAATACAGTCACGCGAGCTCCTCAGAGCCTCTGCGCGCGCAATGAGGGACTTCGTGACGTCATCACCAAAATAATACAAACGCTATTTACACGCGTTAGAGAGCAGTTAGAGATTTAGGAATTTCGACTCGTTGCTTAGTTTGCTATTTGTCACAATCTGTCAAAATATGAGGATAACTTTTTTTTCAGTTAACTGGTCCTTTAAAGAAGCTATTCTCAAGCAGATAGACAACTACACAGAGGACTGGAGACACAGTAAAGGAGTGAAAACTGAGATAACGACTGAACGAAATCTCTTCTATCAACAAAAACAAGCAGAAATACGCCAGGAGCTTGAGTCAACACCACTGGCAAAGTTGATGTTCCAACTAGCGGCTGAGAAAGGGGCAAGTGCTTGGCTAACAGCACTACCTTTAAAAGAGTATGGATATCTGATGAATAAACAACAGTTCTCAGATGCAATAGCTCTCAGATACAACCTGAACTTAAAGGACTGCCCTAAGACATGTACGTGTGGCCAGAAATACTCAGCAAACCATGCGCTCATCTGCAAACTTGGTGGATATGTGTCACTGCGGCACAACTCGCTGAGAGACACCTTTGCAGAACTAATGAGAACTGTGAAATGCAAGGATGTGCAGACGGAGCCAGTTCTTCTACCAGTTGATGGTCTAGAATTACCAAGGGGAACAGTCCTAGGAGACCAAGCCAGGCTGGACATTTCTGCAAGATCGATTTGGAATGCTTCAGAGAGGGCATTTTTTGATGTAAGGGTATTTCATGCCCCAGCCCCCTCCAATGCAAGCAAATCGATACCAGCAATGTACCTTTCCCATGAAAATGAGAAAAAGCGATGTTACAATGCAAGGGTTCTTGAAGTGGAGAAAGGAAGCTTCACACCTTTAGTGTTCTCGACTTCTGGTGGAATGGGTGGTGAAGCTGAGAGACTGGTCAAGAAGCTGGCCAGTAAGATGGAGTACCACACTGGCCAGAGGTACTCAGACGCTGTAGGATACATCAGAAAGCGCCTTCGCTTTGAAATCCTTAGAACAACAGTGATTTCTCTCCGTGGAGACAGGGGTGCAAGAAAAAACATTGTTGATATAAACAGTCTAGATCTTAACTTGGAGCCACAAGGCCAAGGGTAATTTTTGATTGTTAAGGGAATTTTTTGAATTCTTTAAGGGTTGATTTTATATAGGGTCATTGCTATATTATGTGTATATTGTTTGAATAATTTTATTACCATGAAAGTTAAAATGAATCTAATTTACATACTTTCCACTACTATATAAGTTGATAAAGCGTTTTTTAGCAACATGAGGATTACACATAAGATATTCATTGTGCTTCTCTTTATTAGTAGCATAATTTAATCCCTCAATCTTTCCTAATACTTCGTCCGAAATATACCAAAAATGACTGTCATTTACAGATCCGTTTAAAATAGTCTCTTTTTTGAAAGCCTCTAATCTCATTTTAAAACTTAACACAGTCCCACAATTCTTGACATCCGAGGGGAGTTTGTTCCAATATGGTCTCACCCTCTCCGGAAGAAAAGAACTATGGACTTTCTTCATTTTACTGCTACTTTTACTGCATCTACTGTTTGATACCACATTAAGACCAGATCTGCTCATACTGAACAAATCAGCTCCGTAGTTGGCCAAACCACTTATAATTTTAAAAGATTCAATGAGGTCCCCACGTATTCGCCGCTCTGCCAGCGTTGTTAAATTGAGGATTTCCAGTCGACGACTGTATGGAAGAGTACCCACCTCGTCAATCAGACGGGTAAACCGCCTCTGGACGCTCTCCAGCTCCAAGATGATCCCCCAACTTCCATGAGCCGCAACTGGACTCCAGTGCAACCATGAAGATCCAAGAGCGCAGGATGCGACTAGCAGGCCATATCCACCGGCACCCAGAACTAGTCGCAAACCGCTTGCTACTCTGGGAACCAACTCATGGGGTGCGGAGTAGGGGGAGACCATCCATGACTTATGTTGATAGCTTACGAGCTGACACGGGTCTCAACGACACTGGAGAAATGGGCGGACTTATGGAGGATAGAGTTTTATGGAGACAGCGCATCAATACTCGGACGCTGAAGCCGCCTTAAGTCAAGTCAGTAAGTCATTGTTATATGGAGAGAATCCTTCATAAAGCGTTTTTTAGTTGTATTGTTGATAAAATACGAAATAAAACCACCTAATGACTAAAGGGTCATTAAAGATATCCACAAATTTCTGTTGAGTCATTAGAAACTGAGTCTTGCTAGCGGTATAAGTATAATTACCATTTTATTTATGCTACCACTTACCAGTGTCACAATTCCCATAGTACATTTAATAAATTAAAATTTCCCAGAAGGATTGTTTTGAAATCAAATTATTCCATTTGCTACAAATGTTCTTCAGACATTAATATATTATCGTATTGTTCTGTTCCAAATTCGATGGTACACTCTTTGTAAACATATTACACAGTTTTTATTATTTTATTGATTTATATTTCTTTTTAACTTGTTGACTGAATTAAATTATGGTGGAGTGAATTTTAAGTAAAGTTTAACACCCTTCCTGTTCACTGTTATAACATCGATTATTTGGCATATCATTTTCTACCGTACAATTAACACATTTTTGTATTTTAGAGATAAAGAAAGGTCATTTAAACAATATATTCATTCAATTAAATCAAGTGATACAACTGGCAGAGCACAATACATATATATACCAATTTTTTCTCCCTACTCTTGCCAATGGCAAAAAGATCGTAGGGAATAAGTAATCTGGTTTTGGATTTATGAGGTAGCCCGATGGACCTACGGTGTCGACAAAAGTCTGCTCCTTCGCAATATAGACCACTCCCCTATAATTAAGTGTATAGGAAGCGTATGTTATGCTGCGCGCGACTCTAGCCATGTGTTAATTAATTACAGTGAAATTTCTCCTTCGCTAAGTTATTTTCCGCAATTTTCTGGATTTATTAAATGTTGATGCAGCGCTGCATTGGTGAAATAAGTCGTCAATTTTTACCATGCACAAATCCTACTCATTTATTAAAAAAACATTGCATAGTAAGTAATTATATGGTGCACTTTTTTCCAGTCACACTTTTCACTCAAAATAATTGATGGTACAAGTAAATTGATCGTGCGTGGTTCAAGAAAACAACAAATTTCCAAGAGAGGTTTAAACGCGGCGAAATTCTTGTTGAACTTGAAACAAACAAATATATAATACACTAAATTTTGAAAAATATATTTTACTCCATCATGGGGGCAGGGATGAAGTTGTATGAGGATTCTGATAGAGGGGTCTCATGTTTGCATTGCAAATCTTATCCTCGTTCTTACACGCCTCACCACATCACAATAATAATGTCCTGTCATTGCCCATGATTAAGTGTTGTGCCGTGCTATAATATTAAGGTTAAATTACCGTTACAATTCCTTTAAATCTGCTACACCTGTGTTTTAATGAAAGAATAAATTATTCAATATACACATAATATAGCAATGATCTTTGTCCAGCTATAAGGTTGGACAACCCCGAAAAATAAAAACTAATACAATAAATTCCTATTTATGAAGCGGGACGATATTTATGGGGGTTGGGCTGCAGGGTTTCTATCCATGGAAAGTTTCAAGCCATCTAGTATAGCCACTGATAAAAGACAATTTTATTATTGATTACCAATTTATTACTGTTTGATGAATTATTTTTTCAGTGAGTTCTTTCTAAGCATGTGAGGCGTGAGCAAATGTTACAATTGCTACATATTATAACCAACATTGCTTATATTCTGCCTTGTAAACAAAGAGCAAATCTTCTTAATGCCTTCTTCCTGTCCTAAAACTAAAACTTCATCCTATTAAAGTAAAGGCCAGTTGTTACCACAAGCTATTATACCGTCCCTCTCAAAAACATGCCTCAGCCTCCATCAAAAACAATTTTAGTTTTCAGTCCTTCTAGTTTCCAAAAATCTACCGAGCTAGTGTTCTGGTGTGCACAAAAGCCCCTAAGCCCGTGCATTCCTTGCCCCGCTAGCTGCCAGTCCTTGACAAACTTCCAATAGCAAAGATCAACTAGTCATTTACAAATTGAGCACTATACAATTTTAATTGTTTTAAATATTTGACTTTGTAAAATGAGCTAAAACATTGATTTATTAGTTTCATTGATTTATTAGTTTCATTGAATTTATTTTGTGTATTGTTTCTCTATATTTACCTTTCGCTTTAAAGTGTCAAACATGAGTAACAACAAACTATTTTATAGTTAGCCTTAAAACATGGTCAGTGCAAGTGGAGCTCCATCTATGGTTGAGGTCATCTCCCGGTTGGTCAGCGAATACGCTTCCAAGACACCTCAAAAACTTAAACTTATTGACGCCTATCTTGGTTACATTCTGTTCACTGGAATATTCCAGTTCATCTACTGCTGTTTGGTGGGTACATTCCCCTTTAACTCCTTCCTATCAGGATTTATCAGCACTGTTGCCAGCTTTATCTTGGGTGTGTGCTTACGAATCCAGACCAATCCTGCTAATGTTGCTGTATTCAAAGACATTTCAGTTGAGAGAGCTTTTGCAGATTTCGTATTTGCTCACTGTGTGCTTCATTTAGTTGTTCTTAACTTTATTGGTTAATTAGAGTGACATTTTTGACTTTTGATAGCTGACATTATATCCATTATAAAATGCCTTTTTCATGAGAACATAGTATCTAGGTTTAAATATTACTCCAGTAGCAGGCAGGGGTTGAGTGTGCACTTCGCTGCATAGAGTTTTTTGCTACTGAATCGGGTTAAATAGGTCATTGGTAACTCAAATCACCGAGGGGCAAATTTTGTATCGCTAGTCCCAGTCCTACAGGGCAAAATTTCTAAATTGCCCTCAGTCGCAAATTTGGGATTTTTGTATCTCGGCTTCTAAAAGACTTAGAGACTTGAATATTGGCTTAAAATAACCGCAATAGCCTTATTTAAATATACAAGTTATGAAGCAATATAAGGTCTCAAGTGCCTAGTTTTAAAGATATTCACGAAAAACTGTTTTTGGCTCATCGCAGCCTGAATTACCAGATTATTTTTATATCTCGAGCTACAAAGGTCGTAGAAACTTCTCCGATAGTGAAAAATATTCGCAATGAGCACATTTATATAAGCTTTATGAATCATTATATGCTCTAAAATGCTTATTTGTAGAGATATTAGCAATTTTGGCTACACCAATACAAATTTGGTAATTCGTTTTGTCTTTTTGTTGCAAATTTTCACGTTGCAATTTTCAAGATGCGGTTTGTGGCTATCGATAGGGCTTTATATGCTATTGTATGGTTTTGATACAATCCTTCAGCACGGTCTGACATAGGCAATAGGGGTCACAAACCCTGAAATGTCAGGAACTGGGCAGTGGCCGAGATAAATATTTGATAATAAATTGGACTCTTGACTCACATACATCTTTTCAACGGTTAGTTAGACATCTTAAACCAGTATTGAACGTTGAGTAAAACTTCTGATCCATTTGTAGCTCAGGTAATGTGCCCCAGAACCTCACGCCTGAGTGACAGTGGGCCTTATCGATCATGAGCCGCAAATCACAATGACCTTGGGCCTCAGAGACTAGGGTATTCGTACTCTTGGCTTAAATTGGCTCTTCGTTAATATCATCAATCAGGTTTATAACTTCTATATTATCTGCCTGTCCAGTGTCCACCTGTCTCTTTGAGATTCATTATTACTTCGAGAAGCTCCACTATCATGCTGACACTATACAAGTCCAAGGTACGCAGTTTAATCGAATACTGCTGCCCATTATGGAATCCATCTAAAGTGTCAGATATACAAGAACTGGAAGGAGTTCAACGGACATTCACATCTCGAATAGCAGGAACCAAATACCTTGATTACTGGGGGAGATTAAAAAACTCTCACTCATGTCTCTACAACGTCGAAGGGAACGCTATATACTGCTACACATGTGGAAGATCCTCCATGGGTCCATCAGCAACGATCTGAAGATTAACTTCACCTCAAGACCTCGAACTGGCATTAAAGCAGTTGTACCCTCCCTACGAAAGGGTGATGCTGCTTACCACCAGAGTCTCTATGACAAATTGTTCGCTGTTATTGGCCCACGTCTCTGGAATTGTCTTCCTGATTACATCAACAGGATGGAAGAATTTGAATCCTTCAAAATACAACTCACATCCTTGCTCCGGCAGATCCCTGACCAGCCTCCGGTCAAGGGATACACATCCCTCAATACCAACTCCATCCTGGAATGGGGAAAGGATCCTGTAACATCGGAGCTATGGGGCGGTCAAGATAGTTGATGACCCTGTTGCAGTGCGCTAAACCCAACAAAAGTAACAAAAGTAATAATAGTAAGTTCAGTCATTTCGCTTCTGTTCAACTGTAGGTGTAATGAGGGACTTCAGTCCAGCAATATCTCTAAATTTAGCAATATCTGGTTTCGCTACTTTTAAGGTAATTGTGTTCAGCAAGCAAGTTTGTAAGTTTTCAGTCCTACTGCCCCAAAATATTGGCCCCCAGAGCACTGGTAATGCTGGAGTACTGGTAATGCACATGGTAATGCTGATTTTTTGCTAAACATAGCTCTTTTTTAAGTTCCTTTTTCAGCAGTCTTCCCTATCATACTGGCATAAAAACAGATTCACCTCCTTTATCTCTAAATATAATCTTGAACCTGGGCTCTACAGGTTATCGAATGTCCATCTCAGCATTTACAACATACATCGAGTCATAAATTAGAATTATGTGGGGCACAGAGTCACTGAGGGACAGGTATCGTTGGGCCCGAAGTTCTGGGACCCAAAGTTGCAGGTGCCAGAGGTCCTGTGGCTGACAATAATTGGGGCACGAGGTTGGTGGACATTCGATAACTTGTAGAGCCCAGGTTCAAGATTATATTTAGAGATAAAGGAGGTGAATCTGTTTTTATGCCAGTATGATAGGGAAGACTGCTGAAAAAGGAACTTAAAAAAGAGCTATGTTTAGCAAAAAATCAGCATTACCATGTGCAATGTGCATTATCAGTACTCCAGCATTACCAGTGTTCTGGGGGCCAATATTTTGGGGCAGTAGGACTGAAAACTTACAAACTTGCTTAATGCTTGCTGAACACAATTACCTTAAAAGTAGCTAAACCAGATATTGCTAAATCTAGAGACACTGCTGGACTGAAGTCCCTTATTACGCCTACAGTTGAACAGAAGCGAAATGACTGAACTTGAAGTAATAATGAATCTCAAAGAGACAGGTGGATACTGGACAGGCAGATGATATCTATATCATCTGATATAGATATAGATATAGATATATCTATATCTAACTTCTATAGAAATTATAAACCTGATTGATGATACTAACAAAGAGCCAATTTAAGCCAAGAGTACGAATACCATTGTCTCTGAGGCCCAAAGTCATTGTGATTTGCAGCTCATGATCGATAAGGCCCACTGTCACTCAGGCGTGAGGTTCTGGGACACATTACCTGAGCTACAAATGGATCAAAAGTTTTATTCAACGTTCAATACTGGTTTAAGATGTCTAACTAACCGTTGAAAAGATGTATGTGAGTCAAGAGTCCAAGTAATTATCAAATATTTATCTCGGCCACTGCCCAGTTCCTGACATTTCAGGCTTTGTGACCCCTATTGCCTATATCAGGTGCTGAAGATTGTATCAAAACCATACAATAGCATATAAAGCCCTATCGATAGCCACAAACCGCATCTTGAAAATTGCAACGTGAAAATTTGCATCAAAAAGACAAAACGAATTACCAAATTTGTATTGGTAGCCAAAATTACCGATTTTTGCTAATATCTCTACAAATAAGTATTTTAGAGCATATAATGATTCATAAAGCTTATATAAATGTGCTCATTGCGAATATTTTTCAATGTCAGAGAAGTTTCTACGACCTTTGTAGCTCGAGATATAAAAATAATCCGGTAATTCAGGCTGTGATGAGCCAAAAAACAGTTTTTCGTGAATATCTTTAAAACTAGGCACTTGAGACCTTATATTGCTTCATAACTTGTATATAAATAAGGCTATTGCGGTTATTTTTAGCCAATATTCAAGTCTCTAAGTCTTTTAGAAGCCGAGATACAAAAATCCCAAATTTGCGACTGAGGGCAATTTAGAAATTTTGCCCTGTAGGACTGGGACTAGCGATACAAAATTTGCCCCTCGGTGATTTGAGTTACCAATGACCTATTTAACCCGATTCAGTAGCAAAAAACTCTATGCAGCGAAGTGCACACTCAACCCCTGCCTGCTACTGGAGTATATATGTTTCAACAAAGTACTGGTCCTTTACTGGTCCCATACTTTTATATTTTTCAACATTGAAACCTATATTTTGATGACAAGCAATAATACATAATCTAAAAGATCAAGCTAGAGACATTTTATTCTTTGAATTGTTCTTCTTAAATGCTTAGTTCAGCGTGTTTTATTTTCAGTTTAAATAATTTATGAAATCAGTATGATGATGCAAACGTTTATGCTTGTTATGATTATGTGAGAATGAATGAATGTGGGGATTATATATTAGTCAATTTGTTTGTAATTATTACAATAGATATAATATTATTGAAGTTTTCTCAGAATGGGGTTATTTCTTAACATGATTATATCATTTCAACTAAGTGCAGTGTTGTTACTTTAAATGCGTAATATTTACCTGACATATTACATCATCTTCAGAAAGTGTAATTTTACATTAAAATTCTGTCCGTTATCCTTGGTATTAAACAATGTTCAAATACTTTTGGTTTACCGTACAGTGATATTTAACAACGTTTGACAGGATGGAAGTGTTTGTCAAAGAGTTTGAACAAGAAGTGCAAAGAAATGATGAAATTCCCGAAGCTATCATCGCCATCCAATCACTGATACGATACATCGAACAAAGTAATGTAGGAACACTTCAACAACTCATAGAGGAGCTTCAGGTTTGCTAGATTTTTAAAATGCTCTCCTTCTTTTCATCCCATTTTATTTCGATTTTGATTGCTGCATTTTTCTTATGATTGATTGTAAACCGAGACGGTGCCCGGGTGGTTCTCATGACCAATTTTAATCTTAACAAATATATAATAAAAATAGTAATAATCCCTCACAAGGGCACTGCACTCTTAATAGGAAAATGCCACACTGTGTAGATCATCACTTTACGACGGAATTTAAACCGCATCAGACAAATATTTGCGAAAACTTAAAGTTTTGTATGCTCCAACGGCCAGAAAGAATAACTCGACAAATAAAATTGTTTATCACAATGGGACGAGTCCCCATCCTCTTACAAACATTATCGACCCTAATATATTAGCAAGACATGTATTGAAAAAATACACTCATCTCACAAAAAAATTGTCCCTTTTTTGATGTAGTGGTGCTTGTTTGGCTCAGCGTTCTTCTTCATTAGCAAGTTTTGAACAAGAAGTTTATGCATAACTCGATCCTCTGATGAGCGGTCTGGCCTAATGAATTAATGAAGACTGAGCTAAACTTCGCTGGCTGTCGCAGCTTTCAAGCTTGACTGAGTATCTGATAGGCTGTACTGGAACTGGACAGAGTAACCTTGACTAGCCGAGTAGTCTTCTCCTTCAACTTGTCAACTCTACTGAGCTCCCTTGCTGGTTTCAGTTCAATCTCCTCAAATATGTCTCCGACAGTTCTGTTCAAGTCTTTACTGGAATCTTCAGGCAAACCGAGAATCATGATATATATCCCCATCTCTCCATGTAGAGAATGTTTATTTTTAGTAGCAAAGTTTTAGGTAAAATCTGACTTATTGAATTGTTTTTCCCCATTTCACAGAGGAAATGTGTAAAGAAGCATATGCTGTAACCTTCATTTGAGTAAATCCTGCCACTTACAGTTCGTCCACTTTTTACTTCCTTTGGTTCTCCATGGTTTAACTTTTCAACTAGATTATATATCTGAAACTTCCTAGATCTAGTTTTTCCAATTTGGAGAAGTCTGTCACTGTAATACCGATAGTTCAGCCATTTTAAAAGATTTTTGGCTGATTTTTTTACTGAACATTACTTACAATCCGTACAAGAAGCCATTGAAAGGATTATATAATTGAACGATAAATGACGAAGTTACAGACCAAACAAGGTCGAAAAAATAAAAATTGAAATTTTTCCCACTTCTAAAGTTGTACATTTCACCAATCACCCGGGTCAGCAGATATCGCTTCAAAAATTCTTGTGAGTGTAGCTGATGATCATATCAAACTTTTTGGAGTAGAACTTCTCTCAGATTTGAGTTTTAAGCTATGTAATGTGGCCTCAAACGACTTAGTAAAATTCATCGTAAAAAAGGGCAAAAAAGGCAGATTTAAGGCTTAAAATGCCTATAACTCAGAAAGTATCAGTTTTTTTGAAATAATTTCTACAGAATCGTAATCAGCTTGATAAGACGAATCTTTTAGGGAATATTTTTAGAAAATTTTGAAGGTGTGCAATCTTATTCTTTTTGTCTATTTAACCATAATATAAAATAAAATCGATGTTCGGAGCAAAAACGTTTTTGGTGTATCTCCCCTTAATACTTCCCCAATTAGTACCTGTTCTCTTTTTTGAATAATTTCCATTATACTGTGTAACTCTGAGATGTGTAACTCTGAGATGTGTAATTCTGAGATTCACAATACTAACTCTGTCCCCTGCAGGAGTTGAGTAGTCTACTAAAGTCAGCAGCTGGTACCTCAACAACCTCCGTCGTGTCCGGATGTGACCTGTTCGTTCGTTTCATCACTTTAATGAGGAACCGCAACATGGGACCTGTTGACAGTGACATATGGGAGTCCAAGAGCTTTGATCCTGTTAGACATTTCCTTTTAGACCGTGGCAACCAGTTCATGAAGAGACTGATGATGTCGCGGAAGAAGATCGCCCAGCTCGCATACCCGTTTATTACAGATGGAGTCACGGTGTTGGCTGTTAGTTTATCTCGGGTGGTTTTGGAGATTCTCTGTAAAGCTCATGATAAAATGAAGAAGTTCAATGTGCTGGTTACTATCTCTGAGCCTGATAAGGAGGGTGCTATGATGGTGAAAGCGTTGAGAGACAAAGGAATCCAAGCCACACAGATATTAGACTGTTCCATTGGGTTTGTTATGGAGAGGGTTGATTTTATTCTGGTGGGCGCAGTGGGGGTAGTGGAGAATGGTGGGTTGATCAATAAGATAGGAACTTATCCTGTTGCAGTTATGGCCAAATCACTCAACAAACCTTTTTATGTTGCAGTTGAAAGTTTCAAGTTCTACAGAAACTATCCGCTATGTCAATTAGACTTACCCAACGATTCAAAATATTTGAAAATTGAAGAGAAGGGCCATCCGACAGTTGATTTTACTCCTCCCAATTTGATTAATAAACTTTTTACAGATTTAGGTGTGTTGACTCCTTCAGCAGTTAGTGATGAGCTTATAAAACTGTATATTTGAGATTTATATGTGTTATGTGGTTTAAGAAATGTTTGGGAATTATGTGGTACAGTCTTACTAGTTACTAAGCTTGCTTCAAAATCGTTTATATTCTTTAAATGTTCTATGTCTTATACACGAAATTAGATTTTTTGCAGTGCTACTGTGCAGTTTGGAAGTGATTACGGTTTCTCAAGTATTAAGATTTGATTCTGGTCAGGGTTCACATTTCACAAGTGGTGATGATGAAATACTCATATTGATGTTTTTTTTTTCATTTTAAATTGTAAATTATTTGAATTTCATCAAGCTGTTTTCTTGAATAGATTTACCATATCTAACCAAAACTATCCATCATGGAAAATGTTAAATGATTCATTTGGTCCGTCTGTTAATTAACTAATTAATGATCCAATTATCTAGGTACATGAGTAGTGGCAGATGGAAGGTATGGACGCCTATTCGCCCTCATCGGATAACGACGAAAACATTGGTGAGCATTATTCCAATAAATTTCCAATAAAGTATCATGATAAGTAATAAAATATCTGTTTTTTAATTTTTTACACATGCATGCTTTTATTTTAAATGATTTCGAGAATTTTTACTTGAAAATGTCAATCGTCGGTTTCACTTCAAAACCACGTTAACTTTTGCACTTCATATTTAAACAGAATTTCTTTCAAGGTTTTAGTAATTAGCAGGATATGTTACATGGAAATGAAGATTTTTAAGTTATGTAATAAGTTATATATTAACTTATATATTAGTAAATTAGAGTATTGATTGTTTTACAAATTGTGTTAATGTTCTGTAATGTATTCAAGTTTGTGTTTTTCTCTCGTCATACTTTCTCTACGATAAAAATTTTATTAACTTGAAATGCAGTGGAATTCCTAAAATACCGGTAAAATTTAATGCATTCCATTTTCGTACCACGACTGTCGAAAATTACTGGCAAAATTACTAGCAATACTGAATACATGGACTCTCAATTAGACTCTCAATTGTGCTAATCTGGCCGTCGAAAGATTTTGGAAATTTTTGGCTTACAGCGCAGCTGTTAGACCGAATCAGAATTCTGACTTTGGCCGGAAACAATTTGTAGCCGTTTTTTACTCTAAGACGTGAGAAAACTATTTCAATTTGGCGTGTTCGATCACTGCATTGCATTGTGCGTTCCGTTTTTCCTCTTGATAGCCATCAGAAATTACTTGCAATGTTTGGCTTACTTTGCATTATATTGCGTAACCATTTAGGGCGCCAAACTGACCGCAATTATGTTGAGTCACCGCATTGTGCAACCATTTCCACCCTCTTTAATCACTATCAAAGTTTTAAACTAGAAATTGTCCTATAAAATTGTTGGCTCCGATTTTTAAGCTGAGTACATGTTCCTCAGCGATAAAAATAAAACTATTAAAAATTTAACATTCGAAAATCATCGACACTAAAATTACATAATTTGATAAGGGTCACGTCCTATAACCTCAAGTCTGTCATTCCTCAAAAAAGCTAACTCTCTCTCTCTCTCTCTGTTCTGGTCAACGGTTTCTGGCCTCTTACTAAAAGATGGAGGCCTTCTCACCGTGCCCACAGAATGCAACTCCTGCTAGCTGCACGCCAGGACTCCCAAAGTATATACGAAATCATAAAATAATAAATATCAATGCAACAGACCCCTGGAGTCTTGAAGCTGTCACTACCTGTCTCAGAGCAAACCCACTTCCGTTGTAGTACTTCTGCGGGCAGACAAGGGACTTCCGAGCAAGGTCAAAGCCTGGGAGATATGTCTCTATGCAGAGATGGGCCTAGGTTGAGTTCCTAGTATGGGATTTAGCGAAAGTTCCTGGCGAAGAATCCTAGGAGGTTACCCAAAAGGGTTTTCCCTATCCAGTCTTGTCGACTGTTCCACAAATTTGAAGATATGATTGTAGTTTACTGTTTTTAAGGTAGAGTTTACCAATTATCCTCATTCTGAACGTCATGATCTGGATGCACTTGCAGAGGAGGTGCTGGGATGTTTCTGCTTCCCCTGAAAAGTGTTCACAATCTTGCGTCTCGAAGTTGACGTTGTTTGCAACGTTCTGAAAATAAACTAGTGGGCTGTGACCTATCCTGAAAGCGACCATGTAAGCCATCTGATGTGAGTTCCAGAAAAATTAAAGTTCCTGTATTTATATTTGTGGAGGAACATCTCAAGTGGAATGTTCCTTTGTCACTGAGTGTGGCCTAATTGGGAGGAAGGGTTCTGGTCCTATGGGGATGTTGTTGGATTGATCGTCCCTTGCGAATTCGTCCGCTAGTTCTTTACCGTATACTCCTTCATGTCCTGGAGTTCTACTCGATGAGAATACATAGTGAGTTGAGTTGGTCTGAGATGTTCAGAACAAACCTGGAGTTAAAACTGGTGCTGTTAAGCGCTTTAAATGCAGCCTGGGAATCTGAGATCCTAAGTTATCATTAGTCCAGATACTTGCCATGTATAACGCAAATAGCGGGTACAATTTCCTCAATGAACCTGAAGAAGGAATATCTGTCCTGAAATGATACCATGTATCGTCGAGCTAAAAAATGAATCAAAAGTTCGAGTAAATCGTTAAACGTTGTATGTCCTATTTGCATCCCCTAAGCATTGCAATGATGTTTATTCCTGGTCCGGTTAGCTTTGCGTCACAGAACTAAAGAAGTCCACTATGCTTTAGTGAGCTATGCTGTCCACCAGGGTACTGTAGATCTAAGGGTTCCCCGTGTAATGGGGCAGGCTGTGAAAAAGCATCTCTGCAGGATGTCCGAGATGAACTGTTTTCGAGTGTTGAGAACTTCCGCTGTAGAACTGAATAGAAGCAGTTGCAGTAGGGGTGTCAGTCAAACTCTGCTGCTACTAGATGATTGTAGAGCGTCCAGTCACACTTCAATAAAGAGTGTGGCAAAGCTAACCCGGTCCCCTGAAAAGTGGTTACTGGAGGAAGAAGTGCCAGGAATTCTCGCTATCAGTGTGTCCTCGTAGTCAGAGTTGACATCCCTAACACTGTCTTATCACGAGCCTGTGTCTAGCGTGTGTCAGCCCTAACGCATTAGCTGTCTTAACTGAAAAGACCTGAAAAGTGGTTACTGGAGGGAGAAGTGCCAAGACTACTCATTATCAGTGTGTCCTTGTAGTCAGGATGAGCGAATTGGGATCCCTAGCTCTGTGGTGGGTGACTTCGATGGGACCTGAAAGCTGAAAGAGAATTTCCTGGTGATTTAATAGCTCTTAGAGCTATGTATCTGTGTCTAACGTATCGTCGTTTGTGTGTGTACTATCTTGTAACCTGATATCTGAAAGAGAAATTTCCTGGTGCTTGGTAGCTGTTAGTGTTGACTTCCTGGTTCCTATGGGAACTTTGAGTTGGCAAGTCCCAACCTTTGTACTCAACAAGAGAGCACACCACCCGTTAGTGCCAACCAGGCCACACCACGTGGAGGTTCGGAGAGGATTTCGTGACCCCAAAAAAAGCTAACTCTCTGATAAACTCTTTAAAAATCCTCTATAAAATCCCCCAAAACCTGCTCTCCAAGAAACTATGTCACATCAAAACGTATAATGTACTAAAAACTTGTAAACATTGTCCTGTCCTGTCATATAATAAATGTTTTGATTTTAAGATTTACTCCCAAAAAACATTTGCAATACCTCGCTATGATATAAACTTAATTGTTAAAGTTCATATAATTTCAGTGTCCGAGGAAACATAATTCCACGTGTCACACACCATGCACACTCGCTCTCGGCTACTGGACACAGTGCACTATGACGACACTTATCAGCACCTTCTAGTGGCTAGCTCTAAAACACAATCCTGTGAGTGCTTTCAAATTCTAGCAGCATGTTAATCACTTTTTTACATGTTTTGATTATCGTAACAAAAATTCCTATGATATACCACTTGTGTGTATAATGCAATGATTTACTCTTAAATATCATTTTTGCAATGCCTCTATAAAATTTTCTTTAGGCCGTTTAGTGGCCATTATCGATCTTCAATGAACATTCTTAAGACGATCCATAAATCAAATAGACTGGAATGCTGATTAATTGAAGCTAAAGTTTCCAAACTCCATATTTTATGGGCTACATTCCATAACTCACAGCACAGCGCTTAATTTGTTATTTACAGCACAATAATTAGTTATAATTCACAATAATTAACAATAATTAGTAATGATCCATAGTAAATGTGTCTCCCTGATCCCGTCTTTCAGCTCTTCATAATCCATTCGTCATAATTAGTGCAGCATATTCTAGATCATTTAAATTTGTCTTTGAAGTTGTACTGTAATCTAATTTTAAATGCGTGCACAATGAATGACCATACAGCTTGCCATCTAGTTTAAAATTTAGCATGAAATACCGCAAAATTTAAAAAGAATTAATCACCACACGATTACTTCGACAAAATTAGCTCGATTTTGATCATATTTTGGGATCATTAGTCCATATTAGAAACTAATATATAACGGCCCGCAACCAGACAGTTTTAAATTTCCTCGCAGTCCAGTGTCGTCTCCCTAACACTTTTCTTTGCCCTGGGGAAAAACGGTAAGATCTTCTAAAAATGTCCTCTCTGGCTCCAAATTTCCTTTCAAATCAAAAATTTCCTCGCAGTCAGACTGCCAGACTGCTGTTTTCTGGATGTGGGTCCAACGGGAATAATATATAATTTAACAAACTTGCCAGTAATCTCGAATGGTACACGCGATTTAAAAATTCAGATCCGTTATTTTATGACAAACGTTCAAAGGAAGCATACAAAGTTTATGATTAGACGAAACCGAATATTACACAAAACTTATTCTTAGAATCTGCAGAATGATCCCTAAATTGTCAGAGAAAGTAAGGCGTACATTTTTAATTGAATAATGGGCTACACAATGACACAATGTAGCACATAGGCGAACAACGTTATCATTTTTGAGTTGATGAAAAAGAAAATACAATGGTGAGATGGTTGATTTAATCTGTATTTCAGAGTTGAGGTCTAACAAGGGTGGAGCTGGAGCTGTAGAGAGTCCCGAACAAACCAAGAAATCAGGAAACCTCTCCGGAGACGAGGACTCCGATGTGAACTACGACGAGGTCGTGTCACCAGAGGAACAGATCGAGTCTCATCCGGCCAGCTCTGATGAAGAACAGTTTCATGACGTCACAGAGTTCAATGATGACGTAACAGGGCATGTTAAGCGGGACTCCAGTAACGACACGTCCATAGCTAATGGTGACGACAATTCTAACGGAGCAGAGGCAGACGACGAGGAAACATCTCGTGATGTTCCAGATCACGTGTACATGGATGAGAATTCTAACCCTGACGAGAAGAATCCAGAAGATGCGATGAGTCCCGGAGAGGATGATGAGGAAGAAGAGTTTAATAATCCTGTCAGTCCTGCGGTATCTGGCGAGGGAGATGTGACAAGTGACAGAAATGAACACCAACAATCTAGAGAAGAATATATGGAGTCTGCAAAGCACGATGCTATCAGTGAAGATGAAGATATGGAACCCGAAGAAGAAACTTGTAAGATTGAGAGTGAGGAGGCTGAGGGTGGTGTGTTTGCTCAGCATCATGAGCCTATATCTGATTATGAGAAAGAGGAAGCGAAACTAACCGGAAAAAACGAGCAGCTTCTAGAGAAGAAGGAGACGATTTCTGAAGATGAGCGGGAACATGATGATGAGACACTTGACACTCAAGCTGAAGAAACAGAACTGGAGAGTAGGAATGAGGAAGAGAAACCAGAAGAAGATGAGGACGATCTGGATATTTCCAGACAAGAATACCTACCTGACGAGACTATCAGGTCTCCGGAAGGAGAGGTGAACGAGACGATGACATCTTACTCACCTCGTCCTGACTACAACCCTGAGAACTTTGAACCCTGCACCCCACCAGAAAGGGAACCAGAGGAGAGAACAGAGGAAACTCCTCCTCCTGAAGATACAGTTTCTTCAGTACGGCCTACCACACCATCCTACTCAACAGATCGACCCATGACCCCAACAGAGCTTCCAAGGAGCCCAAGTGAAGGCCCCAAAACCCCAACCGGAGGCTCCAGGAGCCCAACTGAAGGCCCCAAGACCCCAACTCATGGTCCTAGGACCCCGACAGAACGCCACAGATTCCCCATCTGAAGGTCCCCGAACCCCCACAGGACCAGCTCCTGCAGACCAACCCTTCTCTCCTCGAACTCCCAGCCCTGTTTCGTCTCCTACCAAACAATCTGCTGAAATAACCAGTGTCACATCTGCTGATCTGTCCTTTGAGTCTGTCACTTCTGAGGAGTGTGTACCTCCCTTTGATATGATGACAGAAAACGAATACGTCTCAGCTTCTAAGTAAGTTCATCATCTTAATCTAGCTTATTTCTAGCTTTATTTATTTTCTTACGAATCTTAAAGTCCATTCAAAGTCCACATATCGGTCAGAATTGAATCTGATATTAAACACATTACAAATTGGTGTGTTAACTAACAAAACTAAAGATATGTGTACAGGCAGAGATCACGCAAAGACAAGAAGATGGTCTGTTTGTGCGAGTTCAGTGCTGAAGATCCCTCTACACATTGTTCTGACAATTGTCTTAATAGAGTCCTCATGATAGAATGGTTAGTAATTGTATCTTCACGTGAGATATTGTATTTCATGTCATATTGTAATGAATGGCTTGACTTATAGTACAGGGAAATCCGTCTGAAAAAATCGATCTGCCGACACACAAAGCTTACAAAGGATTTTTGACGTTTTTGAGTCCTAATATATGTCCTTTATGGCTGACCAACTTTTCCAAACTTTTCCACGTGTCTTAAGGCCACTTTTTGCCACTTTACCACTTTTTACCACCTTTCTTGTTTGTCAAATATCTTTAGTTGTGAACATCGTAGAAAGTTGCAGATTAATCGAGGGTGTTCATATTATCAGGAAGAAAAACTTTTGTGGAGACAATTTTTACCTCAGATAATCAATTAATTGGATAATTATCAATTAGCTAATTAGCAAAAATTTGAAATTTTTTTATTGGCTCAAAATGATCGGAAGAGCTTAAAACACGGAGAAAAGTAGTTTTTAGAAAAACTTCGAAAATTTTTCACTCACATTTTTTTTTTCAAGACTTGGAAAAAATTTCGAATTTTCGAAATTTTTTTTCGACAAAAGTTATCAAATTGCATGAAACGTGGAGTAAAATGCTTTTAAAAAACAACTTCCTGAATTTTTGTTTTCAAGAATACTAAAATCACTTATATTTGTAGTTGGAGTTCAGTAAATCTCGGCAGATTTTAGTAATCAGGAATTACTAAATCGAAATAAATAAAAGGACTGAAACTGAAAAACTTTAACCACAGGATATTAGAGTTTCATAATTAATTACAGTACATCCTTATCGATTTTTACAGAAACTCCACCAAATGCACATTTAAGATCGAACCGATAGCCTGCTCAATGCTCATGCTGTACTACGATAATCGCATAATATAAATCAAGAGGCTTGCATATGAACATATTAACATATTGACATGGGTGTAGAGTTGAGCCTGTACGGAACCTATGTAATAAATAAAACCTCTCTGAGTCTGTACCGTCAATCGTGCTAATCTGAACCGGCCTACCTTGATTACCATCTAACTCTTATTCTCTCAATAATTAGACCGAGTTGTGCAAGAAATACGATTTATCATAGCTCATAATAATTACATTACCCACCAAATGCTATCGCATGTGGTGGGTGTGTAAATAATATCGAGCTGTTTTCAATCACACTATCACAATAAGACACAATACGTGTACATTATATGGCCCTTAATGCGGTATATGAAACGCTCTTTATCGGGGTGTTTCTATAAATCTATAGACTATACCGTACATTTCTCGTTTCTCCCGCGAAAGGCTGGTATAGAGAGCTAGAGGTTTTACTGTATCACGAAAACTTCTACTTGTCCTCATGGCTCATTGACAGCTCGAAGAAGGCAAGAAAAGATCAGAAAGCCTGAAATGTCAACTTGCTCATTTTAATGCTCTTCGATCCGTCCCACATTGATCCCGAGCTGATCATCATGACCCCAAAATATTCTGCGGCTAGAACCTGTCTTTTTACTTCACAACATCAGGATTGCAAACCAACATAATTATCACCGTCTTTACTACCCCGCGGCTCTTTCCCATGCCCGACGCTTGTATCTAGATCTTACCTTTGCCCGTATCTTACTCTTTTTGATTTTAGCCGACCTTGACATATTGGAGTGATTTGAGGTATCTCACATAGCGACTGAAGCGGTATGCAGAACAATACAAAACAAGTCACAGTAGATGTTGGAAGGTGTATTTACACTGGCTTCCTACTTCCTAGCTCTTCCTTGGTATCCATCGTCTTTTCTTGCCTTCTTCGAGCTGTAAATGAGGCCAAGTAGACTTTTTCGTGATAAACTATACCGGGTCTATCGAGGTATAAAGCGTTTCATATACCGCATTAAGGGCCATTTAATACAAAAGTATGATTGAATACAGCTCGATAAGTACTTACATCACCCACTAAATGCAATATGAGCTATGATAAATCACATTTCTTGCACATCTTGGTCTAATTATTGAGGAAAATAAGAGTTAGATTGTAGTCCAGGTAGGCCGGTTCAGATTAGCACGATTGACGGTACAGACTCAGAGAGGTTTTATTTATTACATATTATGCGATTATCGTAGTACAGCATGAGCAGGCTATCGGTTCGATCTTAAATGTGCCTTTGGTGGAGTTTCTGTAAAAATCGATAAGGATGTACTGTAATTAATTATGAAACTCTAATATCCTGTGGTTACAGTTTTTCAGTTTCAGTCCTTTTATTTATTTCGATTTAGTAATTCCTGATTACTAAAATCTGCCGAGATTTACTGAACTCCAACTACAAATATAAGTGATTTTAGTATTCTTGAAAACAAAAATTCAGGAAGTTGTTTTTTAAAAGCATTTTACTCCACGTTTCATGCAATTTGATAACTTTTGTCGAAAAAAAAATTCGAAAATTCGAAATTTTTTCCAAGTCTTGAAAAAAAAATGTGAGTGAAAAATTTTCGAAGTTTTTCTAAAAACTACTTTTCTCCGTGTTTTAAGCTCTTCCGATCATTTTGAGCCAATAAAAAAATTTCAAATTTTTGCTAATTAGCTAATTGATAATTATCCAATTAATTGATTATCTGAGGTAAAAATTGTCTCCACAAAAGTTTTTCTTCCTGATAATATGAACACCCTCGATTAATCTGCAACTTTCTACAATGTTCACAACTAAAGATATTTGACAAACAAGAAAGGTGGTAAAAAGTGGTAAAGTGGCAAAAAGTGGCCTTAAGACACGTGGAAAAGTTTGGAAAAGTTGGTCAGCCATAAAGGACATCTATTAGGACTCAAAAACGTCAAAAATCCTTTGTAAGCTTTGTGTGTCGGCAGATCGATTTTTTCAGACGGATTTCCCTGTACTATTATCAAATTATCTAATATCCATGTACATAGTACAATTTAATGGATCACCTCATTTCTTTTCTTATGTAAGATGTGATAAAGATAGATAATATGATGTAATTTTAATATTATAAAAGCTATAGACATAAGATTAATAGATAGTGTAGGTGTGCTCTGTTTTGACTAACAATTGATCTATTTCAGTAATTCCAGTCTATGTGTCTGTGGTGATCTGTGCAAAAATAAAAAGTTTCAAAAAGCGGAATACGCCAAATGTGAACCCTTTTACACTGGGGCCAAAGGTTGGGGGCTGAAAGCTTCTCAAGATATCATACCTGGGGACTTCATTATGGAGTACTGTGGCGAGGTAGTGAACCAGGCTGATTTTACTAAGAGGATGGACGCGTACGGCAAAAAGAGGAACAGGCATTACTATTTCATGACTATTAGTAAAGATGAGATTATTGATGCTCAGATTAAGGGTAATCTATCTAGATTTATCAACCACAGCTGTGAACCCAACTCTGAAACACAAAAGGTAAGCATGCAACAATTCTCTTAATCGCATCTCAGCAATAGCAGCAAATCTGGGGAAACTTTGAAATACACCAATTTGAAGCATTTAACCCCCCCTTAAAAATCTAAGATTATGAATTTTAGTAATCTGATTATTTACATAGGTCCAAAAATGTCATAGCTTCATGATAGTGCAACGAAAAAAATCTCAGAACATTATGGTGCTGAGTTAGGTGGTTAAGTAGTCGAAAAATGACTGATTTGTTAGTGGACATTTTTTATACCTCTAACACCCAAACCCTTACTACAGTGAAGATATAAGTACTACAGTTAATATTGATGGTCATTATTGAACAAAAATGGTTCATTGACACATAGTTGAAGAAGGAAATTAAAAAAATTAATAAATGTGGTCTGTGGAGTGGTTTATTTGTTTATGTTATAGTGTACGCGTGCGCGCGCGCTAGCGCGTACTTAACCATCTGTAGGCCAACATATTTAGTCTAGGCTTAAATTCTTTATATATTATGTCACCACTATGGTGCCCAATACTTTTAGTGAAGGTTTGATGTAGAACAGTTAACCACCAACTGTGGTATATCAAAAAAACCATGTTTGTACGCGTGCGCGCGCGCTAGCGCGTACTTAACCACCTGGTATGGCACAGCATTGAAATATCACCATAATTTCAAAAGCAGAGGTCACCATTCAGGTGCCCAAAACTTTTGACTATGGTCCCAATACCATAAAACCTTAGATGTGGCCTCAATGTGGTTAAAACATGTTTATTTTGGACTTTCGGTCAACAGAAGCCATCACAAATTAACCATTATTCAGCAACCTCCGAACTTTTTGTGCCTTATTTTGTTTTGATATTTGATTATGAGAGATAGCTGGAGGATAATAAGTGATTTTAAAGATAATGCAACAAAATGTGTGGCCGTATGGTGGTTAAAACGACCAAAAACACTGATTTTGGTCAATTTTAGACCTTTATTAACCATGATGGACACAACATAGGACTCAGCAATGTTTCTGGTCATATAAATGAGCAGGTAGTTATATCTAGATAATGTAGCATGGCCAGCTATAGCTTTACAAAGCTAATATGTGCTCTAAAAATGGTTAATTAGTGCAAATATAGGGTATTTTCGAGACATTTTAACCACCATAGCTGCACATTGATCATAATGCATGAACTTGGGGTCAATTATGGATTTGCAAACAAATATACACTCATTTGGATAGCAAACCATTATCTGAAGTTCATATTGTGGTTACTTTTCACTTTAATAGATGCCTTGTTCAACAGCCTAGCAAGTAATATAGCCCTTTTAACCACTTTTATGACAACATTTCTTGAAAAATTTTATCAAGACCCTTCAAATGTCCTTTGTTGACCAGAAAATGTTGACTAAAATCATTAATAATGTTTTGATTGGTGGTTAACAACAAATTTTGACATTTTAACCATCTTTTTAGCACTTTTTACGAATATTAACCACCTCTAATCAACCATACTATTAAATTGCACATTTGTGATAAAAAATTATCATCCATGCACAAATGAACAACCACCACTATACATCTATAATCGGAGCAATATTTATAGCTCACCGTTCATCTTAAATTTAACCACCATTAGGACCACAAAATGCCCCCCATGAGGTTTGAAAACTTTTGTGATAGTTGCACCATGATATGATCTCAATATAATGACTACTCAGTTCATAATATCATATCTAAAAATGGTGGTTAACCCTAAAACTGGTATTTTAACCACCATAGTGGCCACATAGATGACCCATTAACCACAATTATTCAACATAACCATACTGTAGTGTTTTGTGCACCAGAAAAACATCACTCCAACATTGAGATTAACCACAATGAGCTGCAACATAATGTTGAAGTCAACATACTCAAATTATGTGAAAAAAGTCAATGTCCACCAAGTTTCCCCAGATTTGCTGCTATTGCTGATCTATAAACATTTTATATTATCTACTAATATCTGTTATTCCACATCAACACCCTTTATAATATTTATTCTAAATATGAGTGACATTTTCCTCCATTGCAGTGGCGAGTAAACGGAGTGCTGAGAATAGGATTCTTTGCTTTGAAGAGTATTAAAAAAGGAGCAGAACTTTCATTCGACTATCAATACCAAAGATACGGGTCAGTACCTGTCTATTTATAACTTCTCATCATCATATTCTTTATAAATAGTACTTACTGCATTTTGACAGCTTCTTTAAAGGATACACAATCAATTAAAGATTCTGTGAAATATGTGAAGATGTGACAATTTAGAGAGCACAATGGATCAATATATTTTAATACTTATTATATCCATTATCCAATTACAACTATTAAATACCCCAGAGAATAACACTACACCCCTCCCCCAGAGAATAACACTGCACCCCTCCCCCAAAGAATAACACTGCGCCCCTCCCCCAGAGAATAATACTGGACCCCTCCCCCAGAGAATAACACTGCACCCCTCCCCCAGAGAATAACACTGCACCCCTCCCCCAGAGAATAACACTGCACCCCTCCCCCAGAGAATAACACTGCACCCCTCCCCCAGAGAATAACACTGCACCCCTCCCCCAGAGAATAACACTGCACCCCTCCCCCAGAGAATAACACTACACCCCTCCCCCAGAGAATTACACTGCACCCCTCCCCCAGAGAATAACACTGCACCCCTCCCCCAGAGAATAACACTGCACCCCTCCCCCAGAGAATAACACTACACCCCTCCCCAGAGAATAATACTGCACCCCTCCCCCAGAGAATAACACTGCACCCCTCCCCCAGAGAATAACACTACACCCCTCCCCCAGAGAATAATAGTGCACCCCTCCCCAGACAATTACACTGCACCACTCCCCCAGAGAATAACACTACACCCCTCCCCAGAGAATAACACTGCACCCCTCCCCCAGAGAATAACACTACACCCCTCCCCAGAGAATAACACTGCACCCCTCCCCCAGAGAATAACACTGCACCCCTCCCCCAGAGAATAACACTGCACCCCTTCCCCAGAGAATAATACTGCACCCCTCCCCCAGAGAATAATACTGCACCCCTCCCCCAGAGAATAACACTACACCCCTCCCCAGAGAATAACACTACACCCCTCCCCAGAGAATAACACTGCACCCCTCCCCCAGAGAATAACACTGCACCCCTTCCCCAGAGAATAATACTGCACCCCCCCCCCCCCCAGAGAATAATACTGCACCCCTCCCCCAGAGAATAACACTGCACCCCTCCCCCAGAGAATAACACTGCACCCCTCCCCCAGAGAATAACACTACACCCCTCCCCAGAGAATAACACTGCACCCCTCCCCCAGAGAATAACACTACACCCCTCCCCCAGAGAATAACACTGCACCCCTCCCCCAGAGAATAACACTGCACCCCTCCCCCAGAGAATAACACTGCACCCCTCCCCCAGAGAATAACACTACACCCCTCCCCCAGAGAATAATAGTGCACCCCTCCCCAGACAATTACACTGCACCCCTCCCCCAGAGAATAACACTACACCCCTCCCCAGAGAATAACACTGCACCCCTCCCCCAGAGAATAACACTACACCCCTCCCCAGAGAATATCACTGCACCCCTCCCCCAGAGAATAACACTGCACCCCTCCCCCAGAGAATAACACTGCACCCCTCCCCAGAGAATAATACTGCACCCCTCCCCCAGAGAATAATACTGCACCCCTCCCCCAGAGAATAACACTGCACCCCTCCCCCAGAGAATAACACTGCACCCCTCCCCCAGAGAATAACACTGCACCCCTTCCCCAGAGAATAATACTGCACCCCTCCCCCAGAGAATAATACTGCACCCCTCCCCCAGAGAATAACACTACACCCCTCCCCAGAGAATAATACTGCACCCCTCCCCCAGAGAATAATACTGCACCCCTCCCCCAGAGAATAACACTACACCCCTCCCCAGAGAATAACACTACACCCCTCCCCAGAGAATAACACTGCACCCCTCCCCCAGAGAATAACACTGCACCCCTCCCCCAGAGAATAATACTGCACCCCTCCCCGGCCCCAGAGAATAACACTGCACCCCTCCCCCAGAGAATAACACTGCACCCCTCCCCCCACAGAGACGATGTTCAGAAGTGTTACTGTGGTAGTGACAAGTGTAGGGGGACCCTGGGAGAGAAGCTATCTGAACTAGCTCCCAAACCAGAGAGAGAGAGTCCTCAGAGAGAAGACACTAGCAGTCCCACTACTAATAGTCCCAGACCCAAGAAGAAAGAAAGTGACACGGTAAGAGTGAATTGTGCGAGCCTTGTTAGCGTTATAAGCCTATAAGGTTTTAATCTGTCAACTTGTTACTACTTACTACTATTTATTATGTCTGTAGGTACAATGTGTATAATGTGGAAGATACGCACTTTATATCATTTTATTCTCAAAGAATTTTAACTATCGACCAAATCCTGGAGAAGATTCTATTCTATTAAATTTTGAAAGTTTGTCTGTAAATACACCAGGCCCCTCCTCTAATACTGGTCCCCTTACAGCTGGAGCAGTCACTGAACAGGATAACGCGTGATGACGGCAGCTTATCATCACCTGATAACGCGTTGCAACTTAGCAGACTAATGGTACAAACTGACAGTGTCGAGCACAGACAACTCATCCTCAAAACTATACAGGTTACCTTACTTCCTACATTCTTTGGGAAATCTTCCAGATGAATTCCGCATTTTTTACGAGAGCTCATGACACGTACTAATTTATCTTACCTAATTATCGACCGTGAAGTTTGAATTATTGTTTGAATAGAAAATTAGAATCTCACATTTTTGTTTGCAGAGTACATCAGAGGCAGCAACACTGAAGAGATTCTTAAACTATCAAGGTCTTAACATCATGTGGTCCTGGATGGTTGACGTTAACGAGTATCCTGCTTTGATACGCGGTGAAAATAAACTAACTATTATTAGAGCGCTGCAAGGACTCCCTATATCCACCAAGAATGCAGTCGAGGACAGTAAAGTTATCAAGGTACACTAAAATTACACGATCCTGAACATTGATTTACCAACTATTCTCAAGATCTGCAGTCATTAGTACGAACTATATTATGCTCTGGATACTGGATAGTGTTACGTCCTATCACCAACGTAAAATAGGCACGATTTACAACAATAACGCCCTGTTTCCTTGTGTAGGTATTAAAAAAGTGGGTAGATAACGAACAGAGCAGTAACAGTTCCCAAGCTGACAGCAGCGAGGAGTCAGCGCCTGTTGCCGAGGAAACAGAAGAAACAGAAACAGAGAAGAGTGCCGAGGAGATTGAGACAGAGAGACAGGTTGTGGAGACAGGCCAGGCACTCCTCGATCAGTGGAACAGTCTCAAGGAAGTTTTCAAGATACCTAAGAAGGATAAAAAGGACACTAAACCAGTCGCTTTGAGTTCTCGTGAGTCTTTCGAACAGCTTCTTTTATTTGTAAGACTTGAATTTATTTTTGATTTTTAGCTTTATCCAAAGATGATTATAATTTGAACAGTAGGATTGTACATACATACATAGCCACGGTAATAATAGTACCATATTTCAGGTTCAGGGCCGGCTACATTCTCTTTAGGATCATTCTTACAGTCAGCGAACGAAATGGCTTCGGGCTCACCCCCGAGCACCTTCCCTTCTAGAACAATCTCTGTGGATCAAGCTGACTACGAGTTGCCCATGTCATTTGGCTCCACAAAACGAGAATACAGTGACCCGTCGCGCGACAACAGGGACAACAAGAGACGACGGGATGATAGGGATATTAAACCCGGGGAAAACAAGTGGGATCAGTCGAGTGGTGGCGGGGACCGACATCAAGGATATGTAGTCCACGAGAGTAGGCTAAACAAGCTCAGGGGTGAAAGTAGGTGGGACTCAAATGAAGATAGTAAGAGCAAGGACAAGAGTAAGATCGAGGATAAGGATGTCAAGTCCAGGGATGAAGGACACCGGGGCAGCAGCAGACGGGATGACCGGGGCAGGGATGATAAACGTGGCAGCAGCAGGCGGGACGATCGTCGGGATGATCGCAGAGATGACCGCCGTGATGACCGTCGGGATAAGAGAGACTACAATCGTCGGGATGATAGGCGAGACGACAGAGGTCGACACAACGACCGACGAGATTACAAGAAAGACTACGATACTGAATACAGCTCACGTTACTCTTCCAGAGGATCACGTGACACCTCGAGATCACGTGATGATGAGTATAAAAGCAAGGACCGATCCTCGTCTAGGGAGAGGAAGGGGTCGAAAGAACGCGGAGATAAGCGGGAAAAAAGTGAAAATAATTCAGGTCAGGAAACTAAACACACTCAAGAAACTAAAATGGATATTGATGACAAGCCCACACTTCCAACCACCTTACCAAAATCTCTCACACCAGCTAAACCTGAGGATCCACCGATCCGAATATCACCCGAAATTCAGAAGCAGCCGGAATTGCCAAGTTTTACACAACCTCCAGCTAGTTTACCACTTCCTGTTGGTATGCCACCTTCTCTTTCTAACCCTCCACACAGAATGCCTGGCTATCCTCCTTTTAATCCCAGGAATGCTGGCAGTTTCCCCAGATTTGCTGGATCTTTACCCATGTTCAAGCCTCGAACGGAATCATCTGAACTATCCCGTCCTGAAAGGCCAGAACAAACCAGACCCCACCTCATGCCAGGACTATCAGATATGAATCTGCAGCAGCGGCCGCCAATGCGCATGCGCTACAGGCCTCCTACTGACATGAGCAGAATGCAGCGCCCGCCATTCGATTACAGGGGTGCTCAACAGACTTTGAGGTCCCGATTTGACCAACCTTGGAACAACGCTTTAAGATTCCAGCAGAACCGATTTACTTCACATCAGTCAGAACTCCAGACCCCAACTAGTTTATCAGATAACAGTTTACCACAACGACCATCAGGTGTCAGAATGCCCGCCGGCAGTAGAATGCCCTCCATGCCCGCTGGTGCTAGAATGCCCTCCCACCCTGCAGGCTCTAGGATGCCAGGCATGCCTCAGACTCAACCACTCATTCCTCAACACAGGATGCACCAGCCAGGTCTTGGAATGCAGCAGTACGCTTTACCATCCCAGGGCCACAGATTCCCTGGGGTTCACGCCATGCCTCAAGAACTGTTTAAACAGATGGCTGAACACTCTCTTGCTGGTGGACTTGTCACTCCCATCGCATTTTCTCAACAAATACAGGTTTGTCAAGACCGTTAACAGATAACTTTAAAGAGAACTCTATTTTCTGGTACAAAGTTATGTGATAGAAGTGGAACCAAGAAATAATATCGAATTAGGGTGGCTAGCGGGAACTGAGATATAGCTAGTTTTTATGTCAATTTGGTGTACAAAACACGATTTCAAGAGCGCGCGTAGTGCGCACATTTCAACAATAACGACTAAGATTTTACCATACGTATGCAACTTGGTATGTCGCGTACACATTTGGTTGTACGCAATAAATTATGTTAAAGTAAATGGTTATGACTCGTAATTACCTTTCACTTCCCCTGACACCGACATATCTCAGGGAATGTTCCAGAGCCAAGCAGGTGGAGGTCTAGCTGCCACTCCCCCCGTCACCTCAATAGCGCCAGTTCTCCCGACCTCCATTCCATCTTCACAAGGTAAACTAATTTCATTAGTTTAAGTGTGGCGTAATTTGCTGTAGCTACTGTTTTATGTTTAAGGAAGTTTCGAATTAACATAATTTTTGTTATGCTCAAGTTCTACAAAATACCGTGGAACTGCTTGAAGAAAACATCTGTAAGAGTGGCTAATCCATGACATAATATGTTCATTATATGCAAGCCTCTTGATTTATAAGCATTAAAAGGCAGCACATCATTCTTGTTGAAATATCGATCATTTTCCTGATTGGGGACTCCGACTCCTACTTTAACCGAGATTTTTTAAAATTAACGAATTCCGTAGATAAGTGAGTCCTTAGCGAAATCTGTAAAAATGTACAGGAATCAATGAATTATATACCCCGAAGTTTCGTTGCCCAGATCAATTTTCGTGAGCTTATTTGCCCTTAAATGATGCAGCAAGGATTTAGGAGAAAGTATGCAAATAAAATCCTTTAGTCGTAGACAATCGAACGTTTTGTTAGGCCTGTCCACTGATTGATTTGAAGCGAAAGTGTAACATTCAGAAGCGGCTCCAGTGGCGTAACGAATGGCCCCGCTGACCCTGCTGTGCGGGGGGGGGGGGGGCAATCGTCGTTTGAATGTGTGACAATTTTGAAAAACTTTACTGAGGTACTAGCAAAACTACGCGTTTTGCTCTAGAAACGCTTTTTTAAAGATTTTACTGGCGTATCCTCTAAAACTATGATTTGTTAAATTTTAGGGGGGGGGCGCCAAAAGGGGAGAGGGCGCTTTTTCGGCGAAGGGGGGGGGGGGAGGGGGGTGCCAACAGGCAACGTTACGACATTATGCGGCTCGTGGGTTGGGTGTTATAGTGAATGTGGGTTTTAGGTCGCTTCTGAACGGGAATTTAAAATGTTCGTACGAAATCCGAATGCGCTTTGTTTCAGTTTGCTGACTTCTTTTCCCCTTAGGTATGCCTGTCTCGCAGCCTGCACTGCCCAAAGAACCGGAAGTGGAGAAGAAGCCTCAAGTTAAGCCTGCTCCTTCATCAATTACACCAGTGGTGAAGCCTGAAGAGAAAAAGCTCCCCCCTCACTGGAGAACTGCTAAGGATGCTGAAGGGAAGACTTATTACTACCATGCTATTACCAGGTTGGTTTACTTTGTTTAGTCTTTATACAATTTTGTGTCACTGTATTTGTAGTTTAAGTTGACATTCTAAATGGCCTGTAACCAGCCAAAAGCTTGTATCTGAAGACTTTACATCCACGCACCTTCATTAGTGTGGATGTTATATTATGATTAGTTATTGTTATTCTATTGATATAAGTATATCAATGTTTGTTTGTTACAGAGAGACACAGTGGGATGCACCTGTAATTGAGGAGCCAGGAGTAAGGAAGATTGAAACACCCTCCTCCCCTGTAGCACAACCTAAACGTCAACCTGTTGTAAAGAAAGTTAAAAGAGAGGAGTCCCCTGTTAAAGTACCCAAAGTAAGTAAACCTAATGTATAGCCCTCACATAAACTTCCAAAAGTAGGTATCATTTAGACGATGTAACCAGTTAGCCAGTTAGTCTCGTCCTAATTGATAACTTAACTAGTTTATGTAAAGTTTCACTTTCATTATTTTATGTTTTTACTTTATTTCAGCAAGCAACTCCCGTCAAAAAGGCAGAGCCTGAGGTGGACCCAGCAACCAAGAAAGCTATGGCAGATTTCAAGGGTTCGCTGGCTAAGTTGGTGGTAAATGTGCTGGGAAAGTACAATAAGGTGGACTGTAAAGTGGGCCGGATTATGGACAACAACGATTTCAAATACATCGCTCGTAAGGTGAGTCTACTACAAAATGTACAATTCCTCCTTTTCTTGGCTCCCTTCAAGTTGTTAGATGATGGTATGACCTCACAGTGCACCAGTGTCTTTAAGAGTTGTGGGAATCCCGTATAGACATTTCAAATGCAGAAAACTTTCACCTGGGCCCCACTGATATGCGACTTAGGATTTTTTTCCTGAATCTTGATTTATTTCAGTTAACTCACGGATTGACAGAGAAAGAACTTGCGAGAAAAGGTGCCACCGAGCTTGCAATCACAGACAATCTCAAACAGCGAGTCAAGCAATACATCACAGCTTATATGAGTAAATTCGGGCCCATTTACCACAGAACTTAGCGATATATTTTATACAGTAATGATATTATAACTTCTCGAGATATCTCAATATTTATATTTTATTCGCCGGAATACATGACCTGGAAAATCTAGACAGTAATCTGTTACAAATAGATCAGCCAATCCGCATTTTAAGTTTTAACTTTCGCTTCGATAACCTTTTTACGAGTACTTGTGTCGAACAGTCTGCAAAATAAACAAATATTTGTATGTACACTATCACTTTTGAAAGTTAACCCGAAAGAGTGCTACTTCTCTGTTTTCATTTATTGCCGCAAGTGAACCCGTATCTATCTACTGGCTCTTTATGATGTTTGAAGTTGAACTTGTGTTTAAATTTTGATTGGTTTGCATGTATTCATTTAATTATAACTGTTTAGTGTACTACAAGATTGGTCTTTCAGTTTTATATAAATTTAAAATAGATTATATTATTTATACATTATAACACGCCTCGACATTCGCATTCGACAGTATCACACAATAGCAAATAGCTGATTTACGTACTTGTGACCAAATAAGACCTAGAAAATGCGATACGGTTTCTTCTTCATGGTCACACATAGCACTGGTGCTAGACTTACAAACGGTATGAAGGTATTTGTTTAGCCGACACTGTCAGGTGACAAGTTTCTGGGCGGCATTCCGTCTGGGGTCCCCAGGTAAGCGACAAGGTGCACTGCACTTCTGTATTTCTTTCTGTTATTACTGAGTGTAGTGACAGTGTCGTGATGATAGTGGCATGTTTTCTACCTAGTGCCGTCCTGGTATTATCGGGATTTCACTGCCGCAGTTTAAAAGGGTAGGAGCATTTACCCGTTGAGTCAAAACCCGCATTAGGTGAGCAATTCTATTCGGAGTGCCCTCACGTATCCAATGGTATCTTAAACAATAGTAATAGTATCTGATTTTGATTTGAAACTTTTACAAAATAGCAAGTATACAAATGTACAGCAATTCGAACAAACATATAAAATGGGCCGAAATGTATAAATGCTAAAAAGCGTGGGTCAGTGAAACTAGTACAGAGGACATCTTAAACAATAATCAATAGAAATTAACCCTTAACACCACACCCGCCTATCATATTTGTGAACATGCATAACATTGTCGTATGAAAGTATGAACTCTCTCTCTCTCTCTCTCTGCAGTCCAAACAGTGCCCCCTCCCCTAATGAGATTATAGTATAGACAGCGAGTTACCCGGGTAACTCAATTACACTAATTATGCAGCTACATATGCGAGCCCCGTAACTCTTACCGTTCTGCTCAAGCTATTTTATGTAACATTTGTGGTACAAAACCATCAATTAAACCACTTACCAACGACCGATTTAAAAAACCTTTATCATTTAACTTCGTCAGAGTTTTGTCGGCACTTTACCGAAAAAATCAGTCCCGCAACTATTATCGTTTTCTTGATTAAGCCGCTCGGAAATTACAAACAGACAGACAGACAGAAAACACACATTCTGGGATTATTAGTTAGATTGTGTGTCTAGCTCCATTTGTAAACCAATATATTAGTATTGGGCCGATCCTTGACGGATCTGGGATCACAAACGTCAAGGGTCGGTTTTAAAATATATACAACATACATTATGATTAAGTGTTAAGATCGACGTTGTAGCGCGATCATGCATTTCTAAACTTGTCTTACCTGGGGACCCCAGGCTATTATATTTATGTTCATAATCATAGAGATTCGACGGAATGACAGGCTGAGCGCCGCCCAGCAAGGTAATTGGTAATGGGTATACAGCTCACTTAACGGGTTATACTCGTTATTGTAATGTGTATTCAATCCTCATTTGTATTGTGGCCCAGTGGCAGTAGTGGTGCATCTCACCGATCTACGGATGATAATTAATCACTCTACACTCGACTGTCGTGTCTTTTTCAACCCGTTCTCTATATAGCTGGTCCTGAACGACTATCCGAAACCCTAACCCTTTAATCTGATCACAACCCTAACCCATTACCCAATCCTTATCAAAAACATATGCTGAAACCCTAACCCTAACGAAAAATTAGATTAACTTCCTTATATACGGTCATATCACGTGATCGAGACAGTTTTTCGCCAATATCTCGTCAGTGGAGTATCTTAACCCTATGTGATGGTGGTTATTCGGATGATTAATCACTCGACGCGACTGTCACGTGACTTTTTCAACCCGTTCTCTACTTCTAGCTGGTCCTGAACGACTATTCGAAACCCTATCCCTCTAATCTGATCCCAACCCTAACCCTAACCCAATCCTGGCCTTAGCAAAAGCATATGCTGAAACCCTAATATAACGAGAAATTAGACTAACTTCCTTATACGGTCATATCACGTGATCAAGACAGTTTTTCGCCAATATTATATCTTGTCAGGGCAGGGGAGCATTTTAACCCTATACTATGATTCATGGCGTCGTCGGAATCAGCGTCCGAAAATACATTGCATCGATTGAAGTAGGTTTCAACTGTCGGGGCCCTTTTAGAACAATCTCGAAGATCGAGTACTGTGAAATGATTTTGACCATTGTTAATGGTCTGGCCCGGCGCGCGCTACTTCGTAGCACTTGCCGTCGGGCATTTCGAGAAGAAAGCGGCGCGCGCTACTTCGAAGAAATTTAGACGAGTAACATCCGTCAAAAATGATAATTTAGCACGCTTGAATGCTTCTCGCAACGAAATCGGCGAAATGAGCTACTGGGCCTCGCTGAGCTGCGAATAATTGACATCTTAAATCAACATAGACTCGGGGCTCATAGACGTAACCTCCTACATGACACCACCTGAAGGTTGACCTCTGGAAGCGTTTCATCTTGCTGGAGTCGTATGACGCGCGGTACACATGATGATATTCTCCATTTGAGAGAACTTGCTTACCGGGCCGCGCTCAGCCTGTCATTCCGCCGAATCTTTATTCTATATGTTAATGAACATGATAGCCTGAGGTCCCCAGGTAAGAACTTGCTAGTGACCGTGGTTATTGGAGTAAATTGTTCAATTTTATACTTGAGTACAAGTCAATTTGACTTTTGGGACATATAATTTTACAAAGGATCAGGTTTTGGTTTTAAATTATTTTAGGATTGTTGAAATTTGTAAGATTGACATGTTTGATAATAATAATAATAATAATAATAATCAATTAAGTAAAACAAAATTTTTAGTAAAACAAAATTTTTATTTACCACAAAACAATCAATACATATTTAATATTATTATACATTTACAAATAAATCTAAATTTAATTATTCAGCTATATACATGCAATACACAGCCCGCCGCGCAGACAGCCACACATTGCTGAGAGATTCTCTGGTGCAGGTGTAAGCGCCGCGCGCGCGAGGTTTGTTATCTTACAATTACATGTCACGATATATTATTAATTATCAGAGAATTTTAGAAGCAAAATAATAATTGCATATTGGGAAAATTTTGGTCGTTAACGCAGTATAGGGCGTGGACACTGCAATGCTAATAACGGAAAATTTTGAGGCACGAGTGTAAGGAACCTCAAAATTCTCTCTAATTCCGATATTCCTTTTAAAAGATAGTTAAATGATTTAGATTTATAGTTAACACATTTCCATTGAAGATAATAATGAACAATTCCAGTCATTTTGAGCTTGAATAATTTTATGTTTAAGATAGGTATCGTTAAGTTTAGAAGATCATTGAAATAAGATGTGTATTTAAATTAGAGAAGAGATTACGTTTGATAAACAAAATGAAGCGTTTTGTGTTTAACTAATAGACAATTCGACACGGTTGATGACATTCCATGGAGGTGTACAATCAGAACACCACAGAAGATCACCTGATAGCAGACTGGCCTATCGCAGTTTCAGACGAAGATCTATGAATTGTGAGAATAAATGATTAGCAGAGCATAGCAGAGTTTAAACCGTGATGAGCAATAACGATCTTGATGATTAATTACTGATTTTGATGAACCAGACTGATAGACTCTGGGAAAGTCGGAGGGAGTTAAGAGGGAGAGAGATCGGAGATCGGATGTCTTTCTCGGGTCAGTGCAGTCTTATAAGTTTGTTTCAGAGCAGTGCTTATAACAGAGTCCAGTATGCCGGTTCCGCCCGGATACGTTAACCTTGCCAGTTATAAGTATTTCAGTAAGTTCCTTGCCTTAATTTAATGTGAGCCTTTCACATTAGTATTTTGTTTCTTATAAAGAGTCTGACGTGAAATATATATTTACAATGTTTCTAGTGTTTATTCACGTACCCTCTAGGCATATAAATTCTATGCAGTACACTGAAAAGTACATTCTTACCAGGTTGCAGTGGATCCGATCCGTCACATCGAATAGATTCCCCCGTACATTAAAGAACAGTGACTATTAAGTAAGTGCAACATAATTAGCAGAAGATACATATACCTCCTCCAAATAATTAATATTCCATTTATCATAGATAAATTATCCTTCATGATTGCATACCGTTCTGCCATCTTAAATCCTCTTAAGAGTAATTTGCACGATTCTTTGATTACTTTCTATCCAAGGTTTCCGGGTAGAAGTAAGCTCACGACGATAAGATTCCCGATCTCCCTCTCACTTGAAGGACCATTATACGGATTGAAGTTGTTCTTGAGGTAAAATCCTTTTCCATTAGTTTTTACATATGAAGTAGGTTTAAGAATATAGTTGGTAATTGTAGTTTCGTGCTCTCAAAATTATATACTTTGTACAAACTTCCGTTTCAGTTCCCAGGTCAATAGACCCGAATCTTCCTACTCAGAACGTGCTGCCTTTGCCGATACCTGCTAGATTAATTGATTCTCCGTCGTCAACCGAGGTAATTAGTTCAGTCATAACGTCCGCATAAAATAAGTAGTTGTCTTAAATAGTAAATTTATTAAGTATTATATTATTGTTTATCGAGTAAGACGTGTGCAGGTTTAAAGTAGATTTCATGTTGGTTACGTAATAAATTGTTTCTATTGCCATAGTTAAAAGATATTGCTTTCAGACCATTCGTGACAGTCAAACTGTTGACGGTGAGACTCAGTCAAAGACGCGTGATATTCCAGCCCTCCTACACTATTTCTTAGAGAGAGACATATCAAAAGGTGATTGCACCAACATAGACTTAGAGTTCCTTTAAATAGGTTATGAGAAGAATTTCTACCGTTTCAATTAATTAGTATAGTATCAAAAGGTTACTTCCATTGTTATATAACCATTTTTCAATTTAAGAAGGTTTTCTCTCATTAATTATACTACCATTAGTCGTTCTATATTTTGTTCTATATTGTCGTTTCAATTTGTGTTAACCCACCAAAATTGAAAGTCTGAATTATAATCACTAACCGCACTAAATTAAATAAGAAGTAACATGAAACTCTGAATTCTAGCAAAACTATAATTTCCCTAAAACAAAAGTTTTAAGACGCTCAATCGTGGGTTCAGAACCTTCCGAGACGGACTCTCTTGATATAACCGGGGCCTCCCATGTATAGTTCTAGCCAAGTCAAAAGGAGCTCTAAATAAATAATTTCTTGGAGGAAATAAAGTACTACATATCATGGACATGGGAGAGGTGATTATTACCCGGTGCTAGCAACTAATACCTGTCTAATTTGGTACCGTGGTTAATAACAACGAGTTTCATTCAGCTACCCAATTTATATGTGACATGTACTTGTATTAAATTCAAATAAATGTTAGTAACAATCGACGCCAACATTGTGCAACTGTAAACTGCAAAATGTTAACGTCGATTATCATCGTATCACGTGGTGACCCCCACGGTCGCTTCGTGACCCCCACGGTCACTTCGACGCTACAGGGGAAGCCGCGCACTTCGTGCGCGGCGGGTCATACAACATATGACAAGATTATCATTAAATCACATCTCGCAAGTTACTAATTCTTTGCACTATATTTGTTACGTCACTATAGCATATGTCATTCATATTGTACGTTATTGGTTATATAAGATAAAAATAAACATTTTATAATTGTTTCAATGTTCAACACTGCTAAAAAACAAATACCTACTTGCCCATCGATTAAGCAGTCGCCAAAACAAGGCTCAAAGTTAATTTACCTTCACACCTCGTTTTGGAGACTGAAGGATGTCAATAAATAAATAATGGATAACATTAATACTGAATATGATGGATAATCAGTAATATCAATAAAATCCACAATCACTAATCATGTTTTCGATGGGCAAGCACTCGCAACTGGATGCTGAAACAAACGGCGCAAGTCTTGCACCGTTCATGCAGCATACGTCGCGAGATATCATGAGCTCCGCTAACTCTGCGATTCTAACGGATGAATTAGGCTACCCCGACAGAAACACAGGTAACAGGGGGTTGTGGAAGGACACGAACACTGTTCGTTAACTCGTACCCCGGGTACCCCCTATATAGATCTATGTCCCGCCGGAGACAGCCCACCACCAGTCATATCGAAAGCAGCTTTTAATTCTGCATTATAAATATCGCGTCGTCATAATAAATAATATACATTACCACTACACACTTGTCACTACACACTTTTATGCACAGTATAACTAAAATATTAACAAGAGACAGAAGAGTTTTACATCGGCTCAGCACCGCAAGGACTATACACGTGGTTCATAAATTAGTTTGATTTGGTTACGGTTCGACCGGGAAAGTGGTCGGGGTTAGTTCTCATAATGAGTAATCACTGTCGTCAGATATATTAGAGCGGGAACTCCCCCAGGTTCCGGACGAAACGCGCACAGTATTTAGAGTATCAGCGCGCAATGCTGTACGCGCTCCCATATTGTTTTATCATTCGGCGATCGCGTTCAACGTGACTGGTTAGGAAGTGCTATGTTGTTTACCTAATTTCAAGCATGGTATCCATAGATAAGATTATCAGTCAGTAAGTGGGAATAACAGGCAAGTATCACTTCTCACTCAGAATTCAGTGAAATTTTTGTCACACCAATCAGTTCCATACCTGTTTTGAGCTCTTAGAAGTGACTGTTTAAGCAAATTCTTGACAGAGCTGCAAGGGGAGGTGAAATTCATCGGCCCAACTTTACGAAAGTTAACTTAACAAGTTGTTTTCTTTGCTGTTTTCTTGAATTTGATGCGCGGCGCGGCCCAGTAGTGCATCGCTTGTATTGTAGGTTTATAACTTACCAAGAAATAGAAAGGGCTCATATCAGCTGGTTAGAGCAACCGTTAATGCATCCCGCAACAACATTACTGGGCGGCGCTCAGCCTGTCATTCCGCCGAAACTGTTTATATGATTATGAACATAAATATAATAGCCTGGGGTCCCCAGGTAACTGGTAACAACATGCTGTACAATCACAAATAAACTGCGACACATTGCACATTTGACATTGGAGCCTAGCGCGCACTTCTGAAACCTAGTTTAGAATCGAGCGCTACTAAAAATTATTTAGGTACAGTTCGCTGTTGTTTAGCAGTTCATTTACTGATTTCCCCAAATATTCTCACCGATTGCCTATTATACTGCTTAATGTATAAACTACAAACAAGAGCAAGCAACTGCTATCAATATTATTTTTGCTGTCAATACTTATCTAAAAAATTGCGGGCTACGTATATTGTACAGGGTGGGCCAAAAGTCAGTGTGCAAACGTTGGGTCTTATACCTCCGCCGTGTTTTATATTTGAGAGCTGTTGCTTTGCAGATGGCATACTGTACTTACTGGTTCGAGGATCCCGTCGTCAAAATTTGAAAATTCGAATATTTTAGACCACGCCCATTCAATATTAAAACACCTATATTGTTTTCTCTGAACATCCTAAACGCCTAATTTTTTCAGAGACGGTAGATTATCAAATGTTGCATATGATCTGAAAACATGAGGCAAAACGGATTAGAAATGACGAAGTTAACAAGCATTTTGTGTATCTCGTTAACAAAATTGACTGGGTGATTATGTGACACCGTGACACGACACCTTAATTGGGCACCCTTAACAATTCCCATAATGTTTAACGGGGTAGTTAACGGGGTCACCTTATCACGTGATTAGGTAAACCAATCAGCTGATCACACGTAATGAATAAACTCTTTATGCTTCATATCTCGGTCATCTGAGAAGCTACAGTTCTAATTCTTTCAGGGCAAACGTAATTCGAATGGCCAAACACAATTCAATAACATTTAGCTTGATCCGACTATCCAAACTATCAAATAAATGCGAAAATGAACCTCCATTTGAAAAAAATGAACGCGAATATTTTTCGAGTTGACAAATTCCTCGAACCAGTGGTGGTACTAAGTCATACCAGAAGGAAGTATTTCAATTGGGCACTCAGTGACTGAGCTATTAAGGCCAACGTTTGCACACTGACTTTTGGCCCACCCTGTATCTGTATGCAGTAAAAGTAAAGCCGTTCTAGAGGAAACGAGTCTGATGGTTTTTAGTTTCTCCTTGAGTATGAGGTTTTTAAAATTCATCGAGGTGTTGTATTACCCGTCAAATTGAGGTGTTGTGGGAAACAAGCTTTGAAAACTCTTTTAGCTAAAGGTATTCGATAACGCTGTTTTTTGAAGTGCGAAGTAGAAGTAAAACAACCTTATTCAGGATGACTTAAAGTCACTGAGGTAAAGATAGCATTCTGAAACAAGTTAGAACATTAATAAATTTTAACATAAACTGAAGTAAATAAATAATAAGAATCATTACAAGGTGAGGTCTGGGGTTGGCTAGTTGAAAAAGTTAGGAGAGAGGGGTATTAAGACAGCAGGACAAGGTTTTGATCTCTCATACATGTACCTCGACTGCATAGAAGTCCTCGATTGCATTGTAGGTTTATAACCTACCAGGACGCACGCCGAGTTGGACTCGTCGACGGTCCTGATATTTGAAACAAATATTTCACGAGTATCACCTGTTAATGATTGCATAGAAGTCCTTATCGCACACCTCTGGGATTGATGAAACAAGCGTGTCTTGCACCCATAGTCTAGGAATGATTTGATTTGATGATAGTTATGATAGATACTGATTACTGAGGCATGAGGCCTTGTTTGAAGTCTGATGGGGAAGACATTCTGAATTAGGGGGTTTTGAGTTAGGGGATTCAGAGCTTGTTAACTTCACGAAGAGCCTGTAAGAAATTGCTCATGGCAGTTGGGGCACAGGTTGTTCTTACAGTTGTTCATCGCCCTGAATAGTCGGTAGATGTTAATCAGTTGTATTCGTTTACAATTTACATGTCATTATGGTTATTCACACATTTTCAAATCGGCATGAATAACCAAAATTAAAAACACAATAGGAAAAGTTAAGAGGAATTAAAGAATACTTGAATAAATGATGAATCTGCAGTGGGATTTGAATTTGGCACACTTAGTATCTACACCTGGTTAACTTTTTTCAACATTACTTTTGACAGTTTCCTATGTACGTAATTTCACATATTAACCCTTTTTAGTATTAATAATCATATTAGATTATATTGTAAGTTAGAAGCCTGTGGTCACAGAGAGGAAGCTAATAGTATTCTTTGGTAGTCAGTTTTTATCGCATCAAAAAACATCCGACACAACCAAAGATACAATTACAGCCGATTCAAATGTAGCTCGCACTGAACACAATGTAATTACCACAAAATCGATGAAAATGTTGCTTTGCAATCTTTGCACATGCACGTGCGCGTTCACCACCGTTACCATGGTAACTATGCAACTTCCTATTTTTCATCTAATTTGCACGTGGGCGGTCGTACATACATTCTACATACAGACAAACATAATTCTTTGAATTAGTAGTACGTAAGTAAGATAGTGATATGTACTAATGATTAAGCTTATACAGATTCAAGGAGATTGTACGATTAAATTGTATTAGCCCATTATAGGTTTGAGCTTTAATAACACACAGCATTTAGGTAGATACAACTTGTTTTTCTTAATAACATTCCAAAGTTCAACTGGTTAATATCAATGGAAGATTTTGGGTTATCAGCTATCTGAGTTATCTGCATGTTATTCTTCACGAATTGAAGATTTGTGATACACTATACAGTAGTATCTGATTTATCTGAATTTATTTCAATAATGTTGATTTCCTTGCTATGTTTATATACCTTCTCACATGATTTTCAAACAGGATGTCCTGTGATTTCTGTCAGGGCACTGATGGTAACTCAAGCAATTCTCAAACTTTGCTTAAATCCTTTCGGAAGCTCAAGAGTAAAGACATATTTGATTCTTCTTCACTGAATTCAGAAACAATTCTTTTGAAGCAGCTGTTGCAGAGAAATGCTGACCAACACCATACTCGGAAATATTTTCGATTAAGCTCCCAGCTTTCTAAGAAATGTACCAATCTTAGCATCATCCTAGAAGCATACTTGAATGATTTTGGGTCCCTATGTTTTCAGCTCAAAGATTCTTGCATCCACAATTCAGGTTGTCAGGAATTTCTTCAAAAATCTAAGAAAATGCTTGAACATATTTCAAATATTATGAGTTTCTCCTTGAAAGTCCTTCTTGAGCTGAAGCGATACCTTGCAAATTGTGAGTTTGTCAAAGTTTTGGTGGCACTTATAGCTGTGGTATCTAAAGTTTATGCATTGGTCAGTCAGCCCCATAAAAACATAAAAAAGATTATCAACTTGCTGTCCCATGATCAGCCATTTTTATCAGAGGAAATTGACCATTCTACTTCACTGGTGATGGATATTGATAACAACTCCCTTTAGAATCACCTGTGCTGTCTATGAATGAAGCTGAAGAAGATCTTGGTGAAGTCATCTCTGACTCAGAATTTACACCAAATGAGAATGCAATTGTTTCCAGTTTAGAAGTAGAGCCACAAAATTCAATGGAATTAGTTTTATCCGAATCTAAAATAATTAATCAACAATGCCCTGTTGATAAAACAAAGTCATCAAACCCTAAGCAGAAAATAAATGTTCAAACTGAAACTCAGGATAACAAGGATTTTGTTCATCGGTCTGAGAATAGAGAGTATAACACATTGAAAAACAGAAATCCAACTGCGAAGACATCAGTTACCTTAAAGCAACCTACTTACAAAGTGTACAAACAGAAACACCCATTTTTCAGAAAGTTAGCTCGCTATTCAAGTGACCTGCTACGTAGAGATCTGCCAGATTATTCTGTTTCTTTGTATTTAAGCTTATGATACTCTTTCTCATATTTATACTATCGTTTTAACTTGATTTTATGGTGACTATGGTATTGATGATTGATAAATTATTAGGGTTTATTCATGTATATTTTTTTACATTTTAAATATTTCTACCCTGCATATTCATTGTTCAACCAATCTGAGTAGATAAATACATATATGCCAAATTAGTTCTTTCATTCAACCAGCATGGAGAAAATGACTAAGCAAGTTCAAATACCTAACTCTGCAGCACTTATTTACTGATGACTAGTCTTGTTAAACATTAAACCATAATGCTATTATCCATTGTTGATATCTATTTATCAACATTGCTCATGAGATTTGCCTTTTTCCAATCTGCCTTCACCCAAACCAGCTAGTTAGTTGTCCATATTAACTACACATTCCCCAGCCATGGATGTGGATAATGATGGACAGTTTGATGACTATGCCGCTCCTCCAGACGGTGAGTAAATTCATGTTTATTCTATTACACATTATATTATAATTGTAGTCGTACTGTCGTAGTACGACTACTTGTTGTGTAGCATAACAATAATTGTATGTACAGTAAAGCAGTAATACCCCGATTTACTGCCGAGTTTGGAACTGGGAGAAAGGAAAATGCCGCGGTAAATCGGGGTTTTGATTGTTTACATATAATGTATGTTAAGCGCTATTTGGGAGAAAGAAAATGGCCGCGGTAAATCGGGGTTCGCATTAAATCGGGGTTTGCGCTAAATCGGGGGTTTTACTAAAATTCTTGTGACCATCTAACGAATTCTGGCTGGTTATAAGTGGCGCTACGACAAAGATCTTAAATAAATAACAGAACAGACTACCTTCAACACACTGTACATAACACTGAACATAACACACTGCACAGAGTCCTGTTCAAATAAGAACAGGTCGAGTGATGAAAAACACAGAGTTTACGAGTTTGTCACAGTTGAACAGAATAGAACATACGTGGACTTTGGAGGCAACATATAAGTTCAAGATCTAAGAACTTACCTAAACCTGAGTTTCATCAGCTTGTTTCAAAATTAGATTTCTAAACATCATACTATATTACTATCTATCTGATACTTTTGTTTCCTTAAATATGATATACTAATATGGCACATGAGATCCGAGATGCTTGTCAAGGCAGATGACTAGTCCCCAGTCGTGCTTCACAACATACAGCTCTACTGTAATTTTGAAGGCCTAATAGGCTACAGTAGATCTAGCTCTATATCATACGTGACGTGTCAAATATCACGTGTTATTGCTCAGCCAGCTGTTAGTGTCAGTTAAAGATGTGGATATGAGGCTGGTAACTCTTGCAACATTCGACCAGTCTAGGACACACGGTATCTGCTAATACCTAGCTTTGTCGTATCTTGAGAGGTTCATTAAACACATAGTCAACACTCGACATGTCAGCAAGCTGGTTATGGTTGAGTTATACACAGTCGTGAACATGTTTAAATGTGCTTTGAGGTGAGTCCTAGATTTAGAACATGGCGTTATGAATTAGTAGGACAAGTGAGTGCCGGTTGAGGTTTTGCAGGGTTGTGGGGGGGGGGGGAGACGCAGGCCGGGGGGGGGGGGGGGGGGGGGCACTGCAATGTGATCATCTACTAGGTTATTGAAGGCAATATTAATTAAGTAAGAACAATAATAATATTGTACTTACTACCAATGTAAGATACGTAAAATACATTAATATGTTCCTACATTGTATTTGACTACCTTATCTGCCCAATGATATCCATAGATTATTTACCACATCTTAGAGTATGCCGCTATGTAAACTTAAGTTCTACCCAGAATTATATTCTTTGTTTCCACCGCATTACATCAATGTAAATATTTTGGACATTATAATGTTATGGTGTAGTGTTAGGTAATAAAAGAGACATTCTTCAATAATCAATAACTCCGTTTATCTTTGTATGATTCCTGTTTGTTTACGTTGTTAAATGTAAATTCTCTGTCTTGGATATTTGATCCTATCATACGTTTTCTTAATTAGATACAGTCTATCATTATAAGCAAATTGTACCAATGAAATGTAAGGTATGCTGGAGGGGTTCTTGAAACGTATAAATGATACGAGGTTATATTATTAGCAGGAGCTTTCGAAATACATGTGTAATGTGTATTATATATATCGTCTTCGGTATATATCGTCTTCATGCTATGTGTATTGTGTATCGATATAAGAATTTAAGAATATATAAAGATGAATTGATATATAAAATGTACAGTATTTACCTGGACGGGACAAGGTGGAATTGTAAGTTATAAACCTGACAGCTGCAGACTGCAGGCATGGATGAGGTACCAGGTACCTGGTACACTGTACAGGTTCTCAAATTATTGTTACTCTCTAGTGAACGTTATGGTACAATTTCAGCTCAAATAGTAGTAACAACTATACTCATGAGTCATGGTCATGTGCCAAAATACATTAACATGATGTAGACTGTAGAACCGCCATAACAGTGACAATGAAGGTCAATTGCTGTATCAACAAATCATGAAACCGTATATTAATAGTCACTAATCAAATATTTAGCTAATTAACTTATTAATTTATTAACTAATTCACTAATTAACTAGAATAATACTCAGCAACTAGAAGTGGCATAGAAGTTCTAATTATGAGATTGTGCATTTATTCTAATTACTGTTCCGACATGACACGTCATTAATTAAACCCCTTAAATATGATAACAAATTTGATACAACTCCAGGAAAACCACGTCTAATTAAATATTTGTAACCACCCCTGTAACTCAACTCTTACTCGCCTCCTCATTAACGCGTATAAAATGATGATCACAAGATCTCACTATCTTGCCCGTGTTGCTTATCTCGTGTTCTTATCAAGTCTAACACTTTTCATATTTGCTGTGTATTTTAAGTCTGATTTGATCGGTAAGATGGGCTCTGTTAACTCTACGTTTGTAAGAGATACGCTCTTTTGGACGTTTACAAACTTTTTTCTGTTCGTTACCGTCATGTTCTCTATTAAGAAAGGTAAGTTTTCACGGTTTATAGTTTATTACGGACAAGTTAAACTTTACGCAGATCGACAATATTCCATAAATTAAATGGTCGCCATGGCCATATGTTAAAATTTAGTCAGTAATTCCTGAAAGAAATTTCTGGAATTTGGCGAAACAAACTTGGTTGGTTGACGATTTTATAAAATTTGTGGTTCGAAGTTACGTGGTTTACTATGAATACAATTTGTCAAGGTGTATTACATGTTTGTCTTTTGATGATAATATTCAAAATTTGTTGGCATTTTATGTAATTGTTACATAATTAGCTTAATCAACCAATACAATGAATACATTAACTTTGTGAGGCAAGTCATTTTGTTGGTACCGGAGTTTATTAACGTAGTAAGACGGAATTACTGTTTAAACTTTAACAAATAACATTTCTCATATCCATGGGGACCATTTAATTTATGGAATATTGTCGATCTGCGTAAAGTTTAACTTGTCCGTAATAAACTATAACTTAATTTAACTTAAATCCACAAAATCTTGTGGAGCTCTTGGCTCAGACTGTAACTGTCATGTCATATTCAAGAAATATCCATCATTACACATGCTTGCAGTAGATTTTTGACAAATTTTAGAATAGTCATGTCATTGGGCACTTAATATACATGCTGTGTGTTTGAAGCAGAGAATTGTAATTTTGACTATGTAAAATGCAAATGATGTAGGAAAAATTCTACTGGACGAATTGGCCATGCAAGTCTACAAATAGTCATCCCCCCTCGTTTTCATTCCCCCTTCCCCTTCTTAGTAGAAAGTGTTAATAATAAGAATTAGAGCGTGCTGAGTGTAACACAGTGATGTTTGTGTGCCACCTACCCAACTTAGCAACCAAAGGACAAGATACCATAGCCAGCTGTAGTAGACTTGTGTCATTTTGCAATACATTTGTTGTAAACATTAGAATAGTATGCGATCCGTTCGAATAAATAGCTTATATTATATGAAGTTAAGATGTAGGTTTTAAATCATTTAAAATAAGTTGAGGTTACCATGGCTACTGCTACGGTAAGATTTTGTGTATTAAAACTGAATAACCAGTTGTTAAAATTAAGCTATAAGTAACATTAGATTGCAGTGCCAAAGTTTGTCGACCCACCAAACATTTGTACGTGCTCTATAGTTGGTAGTGTAGTGTGTGATGCCCTTATAAGGGCACGGTACGAGGGACATGTTCAACATTAACATGTCAAACTTTTGCTCCAGCAAAGCGCAGTATTGTTAGTCAGTTTACACTATTACATTGCCTAGGTTTCAACTGTGCTAACTTGTCCACAACCCCCCTTCAGTGCAAACTTGTCCAGAATCCCCCTGCTGTGCAGTGCTAACTAGTTTGCAGTTCTACCATGTATCAGTGTATCACCTCACATTCACTCTTTTGTCCATCTCAGGAATTTCACTAGGAATTTCACTAGTAACCAGTTGTTAGCAGTAACCATGTTAGTTACTAATTATCACTACAGGAGGTAGGCAAATCATTCCACATATTTCCCTTTCAGTCCAACTCTCGCACACACACACTCACATCATCTGTCATTCCTCAATTAGCTGCCAGCAGTAGTCAGTAGCTGCTTTTACCCATGTTTTCTTTTAATTCCTGCTCATGCTATTTGTAGTGTTTTGTACAGTGTACACGTATAGCTGTTCCTGTCAACACTGGTATACCTGTGTCACTCCAGCTCTAACGTTATCGCTTGTTTTGTTGACTTACGTAGTTGTGCACATGGGAAACTATATCCCTACTGTGGAGCAGGCCACGGAGATTGCTACTGATTTTGGTGAGTTTATATCAAGTGTTAGTTAGGAAATAGGGGTAAACGGTGAAGGGTGGTTACTAAATAGCACGGTGATTGGTGGTTACTAAATAGCACTGTGAAGGGTGGTTACCAAATAGCACTGTGAAGGGTGGTTACTAAATAGCACTGTGAAGAGTGGTTACTAAATAGCACGGTGAATACTAAATAGCACGGTGATTACTTTCTAATTATTTAGTAATGAGTTAGGTTTTATTTCCTTTTAAATACTCTTCATATTGAACTCAATTTCGTTACCAGTCAGGAAAATAGGTAAGTGAATAATGTTATAAAGTTTTTGGCAGTTCTGTTCTCAATTCAGTTACAGTTCAGGGTAGTCTTGATTTCTAGTTGTCAATTGCTTTATCAGTTGGTTGTTGGCAATGCTAGGGTTTCTTCTTATCGCCTAGTGATGTCAGTGTAATTTTTCATTTCACTTCTCCTCGTTTTTTCTGGATCACATCGTTTAAAACTCTGCAAAACGTTGTCGTTTTAAAAATTTGTAGTTCTACTCGTCTGGAATGTTTATTCAGCGAGCGTTTGAGATTTCTGCTGAGCCTATTATCTCGTTCAAACTGTTCTTAGATTGGATAAAATAGAACACAGTTTCCCACTATTACCCTACAGTGTACACGGCAAGTTGCCAGATGCCCATAATACCCGTAACTACAGAACTACAGTATGATAACCATCTGTACACACACCATACCTCTCACTGCTACACACCCTGATAATGAATATGTTACAGTGCTACACACACCTATATATAGCACAGCTCCCACACAATCCTATACTAATCCTCCCTGTACGTACCACACTACATACTACTACTACCTGTACTATAACATCATCCTAAATCCGCTACTTACCCTGCTATTCTGTACACTGTACTGGTATAACACACTTCTACTATAACCCTCAAACTGGCTTTCCCAAACCACAAAACCACATAATGTGCGTCTAAAATGCCAGCAGCTGGTAAGAGATAGGTCAGGAGGAGAGAGAGAGGGTTTTTTACATGATACCAGGTTGTTAGGAAGTGTAGGTGAAGGAAGAAGAGCCAGTGATGTCATGAGACCAGGATTTTCCCGTGGCCACAACACCGGCCGTCCTGCTGACTTTTAACCTGTGTCCGTCTTGTTTTACGTCGTGTGGCCATGTTCTATAGGTTGTGTGATCTTACGATGACTTGTTAGCGAATATTCTTACTCTGTCATTATCGGAGATAATGGGTTTAGATATGTCTAATCTGTCTGACCAGGAATCATGTAACCAATTTGCATAATCGCATGAATAAGTATTACGAATAGTAATCATTAAAATTAGATACTAATACTAAATATTAGTGAATCCATGAGGGGTAACTTTGGGTGATTTGCAACCATAACGGCAATCTCCCGAACCGTAATCTACACAGTCGCCTCAGTAAACGAGGATAATCAACCAATAAAATTTTCTAATAACTACGTCAAAATGGGCTAGTTAAGATGGGGAAGTATTTTCGCAGGTATAATGACCACAGCTAATGCTATAATAACTATTCCTCCCGTAGCTAGGTTATATTTTGCATCTATCGACCGGTCTGTTTTGAACTGCTGCTGTTGCTTTGTTCTCTTATTACTGTCAATTACTTTTATTTCACCTCATCTACACCTGCAGATTATCTTATCTGGAATTAAGCATGTATAATTAATTTATAGTATTGTTAAGGTGGACTATCGAAGTAAAGAATCAATAGAATAAACACATAGCTGGGGATGACTTGTGATATTTGTCAATATATAACATGCAGTTAATTGTAGAGACTATTTGTAGACCCATGTTTGTGTGTCCTATGAATAAAGTTCTGTGTCGTGTACATGCAACTAGTAACATGCTGCACCGTGCTAAAATACTAATCTAGAACAAACCATCTTATTTACTTCATAGTTCACTTCTAGTTGTACAAGTCTAGAACATGTTATTTCCTTCATAGTCAACTTTTAGTCGAATTAATCTAGAACATGTCGAATCTTCTTTATAATGGTTCACCCTGATTTTTCTATGCAACTTGATTTAGAGATAGCAAATGCTGACGTTATTTGAGGGGGTAGGGAGGGGATCGCTTAATGACATTTCCTGTTGAAGGGGGTAAAAATTGGCCAAAAACTTGCTGACGTAATAAAAGAACGCTCCCTTATCTCAATAGCTTTTGCATTAAATTTTCAGAATGAATCTAGAATCGCATTTCGACCAAGTATTTTAGTGGAATTTTGAGTTAGGCCTAATTTGGCGGCTAAATTCCAAATTTTGTCAGGCAAATTTCAGAAATCCATCAAAATTGGTGTGTATTCCTAAATATGGTCATATAGTTTTTGGCTCATAACTCAGCCAATTTTTGTCAAATTTAGATACAATTTTATCTACATGTTCTGAAGACTAGTAGCTACAAATAAAGCACACCAAAGCTTGGTTTTGGGTGCATGTTAAGATGAAATTTGACATAATTGATCCTAAATTTGACCGGAGTGAGCGCCCGGAGTCTGTAACCACTAACCCCCTCAAAAGCTTGCTCACATGTCCTAGTTTGTTGGTCAAAACTATCTCGAAATCAAGTTTCATAGAAAAATCAGGATGAAGCCCCGTAATCTAGAACATGTTATCTACTTCATAGTTCACCAGTCTACTCGTTACGAGTAACCAAGCTTGTTATTTGTCTCTCCTTTCCCAAATTCCTAAGCATGCTTGTCCTGTGTTATTTAATTTAGATTCCTAGTCTCGCCTAACACTCTATGTTGCTCGAATTACATCAAAATTACTTGCATATGTTTCTTTTGACAACCGTCTTCTTACTCTGCAGTAAAAACACGCGCCTCATACCAGCCAATTGCAATATAGTCATAATATACTGCTTTCCTAAGTCACATAAACTAGCCTAATCAACAGTGTGTATTTTAAGTCTTCGCCTCGGAATTTACACGTGACTGTGTACGGTATGTAGCATATGTTAACACATAGCGCTCAGCTGTATAATAGTGCGTGTACATGACACCTAGCTTTAGTAAAGGTACACTGTGTTGATAATGATCTGCAGGGATTGTATTGTGATCATGGTACTGACTACTGTACTGTATCACTGTTACACGGCAGGTGTCTGTATTATAATGTTAAACATGAGCTCCCTACATATTACACTGCAGCAGAGATTTCTAATTACAACCTGGGAAACCTTAGACTTGCATCACATACCGAACTCTTAGCGATTGCTGTCCCTGGGCAGGGCCGGTGTAGGAAAAGAAGACAAATTCTTAAGAGGAGGTTTACATACCTTTTCTTATAAGAGATCAGGGACTCCATAAAAATTACTGTACAAATAGTTTACAATACCTACCCTGACCTTATAAGAGATCAGAGATTCCATTAAATTACTGTACAAATAGTTTACAATACCTACCCTGACCTTATAAGAGATCAGAGATTCCATTAAATTATCGTAACCTGTCGATTGTTTGATTTTGGGACCAAAATAAGTGTATTAAATTACTGTACAAATAAGTTACAATATCGCCTGAATTAGTAACAGGTAATCTGTCTCCCATATAATATGTGGTATTAATTACTTTTAGATAGGGTGTCATAAATCACCGGACCTCTCATTCCACCATTCTACTGTGCCACTGTACCACTGTACAAACCTCTGTTCTTGAAAGTCATTACCCTTTATCTCTTGATATGGTGTTGTTATTTTTTTTGCTACTGTCATCAGTGTGTATCGTGTAATAATATTCGCAGACCTTTGTATTTATCGTTAATAATAACTTGTACTAGCAAATAAAGCAGCACTGGGTGGACTGAAAGGTGCACAAGATAGGGTCATACAGTGCGCTGGGGCGCAGGGACAGCGCGCGCCCGGCAGATAACATCTTCTACCGTCTTTGTTCCTGCTGCTCATGTGTACCGCTCTTCATGCATCAGAATAACTTGGATAACGAGGAAGAGTTGGAACTAAAAGAAGAGCAGGAGAAAAAGGAGGAGGAGGGGCAAAAGGAGGAGGAGCAAAAGCGGGAGCAAAAGGAGGAGAAAAATGAGGAGGAGGAGAAAGAGGAGCCTTGGGAGGAGATAGGGGCTGTGAGACCGGATGGGTTTGTAAAAGATGAGGGGTTTGTGGAAGAGGGAGGAGAGGGGTTTGTGGAAGAGGGGGGAGAGGGGTCTGTGGAAGAGGAGAAAGTGCAGCAGGGAGAGTTTGAAGGTGTGTTTCGTCTCGTGGAACTGAGAATCGAGAACATTTTTGATGAATTGTGAATGTGATGCTATGTTTCACTTTTACTTTGTAGTTTGTGTTACCAACTCGATGATATTTGTATGCACACCGTGCCAAAAATATCTCATTAATCAAATCAAATCAAATTATGTACATACAATTTTCATAGTTATTCTCTCGCCAGTGAGCCAATAAGCCCAATATTTGAACTTGTACATAACATGCTAGTGTTACATAATTCATGTTAGAATTCTCAAACAAGTGCTTGTTCGTAATATAATACGAACTCAGATGTAAAATGTATCTGATTGTCGTGCATGTATCTCATTTCAGGATAAGGTAACACGTTTCTCGTTTCAGTTTTCAACAATGATTTCGACACGAACTTGCTGACTAAAATGGTTTCCTCTGATTCAACGCCTTACATCGTAAGTGTTCCTATGAATTCCAATAAGAATTGTTTAGATACCATGAATTGTTCCAATCATTAAGAAATAAAAAGACCGCCGATATTTTGCTATTTAAGCCAAACCTTGTTGCAGGCGAACGAAAACTCGGACACGATGTATGGGAACAGTAAATTCGACTCTGGGATTAAATTTGACTCTGGTACATTTGATTCTGGTACATTTGCAAGACCCAAGCGTAACTCTCAAACAATACCAGGTAAACTATATGGGACGCGATTTCAACTCGTTTTGGGCAAATAACCCGTTCCTTCAAGCATGATTCCGATACAAGGAGCGTGCACGAAATTTGAATTCTTCCCGCATGTAATGTCATGTTTGTAAGCGGCGGAGCTAAAATTTCAACCAAAATCAATTGATCTTCGCGCTTAACGTTAGGCAATTTTCCGCGCGGCATACAATTGCCGCGCGTTTCCGCCTGCTTTGCATGATATGCATGGAACGCGACGTTCCAAGTTATGCAATGCTTGACAATTTTAAATCTCTATACATGCCATCAATAAATATTAAAAACTTCATTTATTGGTCCACTTCTGCTTGTCTCTATCCCAATATACAGACTTATTTAACAATTTACAAAGCTATCTTCAACGAATTAGCGGTTAACCGTTAAACTTAAGTGTGTTTTACAGCGTACTAAAGATATGGTCGACAGCTAAACCAGTAAACTGCTCTGGCTCTAGAGAAGCCTAGATTAATCTAGGGGCTCCTACAACTTACGCAACAAATGTTTACTGGCCAAGACTATTTCAATGTTACAAGCTTTAACTAATTTTAAATCACTCTCCGCACATTAAACTAAAGGTTTACTACAACATAAAAGACCGGTAATGGATGACCGTACAAGTTTGTCTTGACACGTGACATCGACTCTAAACGTCGATCGCTGCACTGATAGAGTAGCTTTGTTTGAAAATACAAGTGCAGACGTAGAATTTTCCATCAGCAATCCAGTGAGTTCCTAGGATTTGTAGGGTCTGCTGTGCTGAGAAAACGATCAAACTGGAACTATCTTCATATGTCCTTCGGTGTATTCAGGTGGTATAAATAGGTCTGAGTTGCACTCTGAGGGCACGGCGAGATTCGAGAAGGCTTACCGCAGGAGGCCAGCGACCGTCGACCTTAGTAGACTAGATAAGAGAGAGATAACTTTGTACATGATATCTGTAGACGTCACTGCAATGTTTCAAAATTGTACGGCCCTGTTCCATTTTGTTTGAGGAGCTCAAATCGATACTCTGTGGACCTAAACATGCTGAACATTAACATTAAACATACTGTAGATTTGTTTGCAGCCGCTATGATTGTTTCATTTCTCCGTGTGTTAAATAATTGCAGATCAAAGGAGACTTTAGGAATTGAGGGAAAGAGTTTAATACAAATATAGGTGCTCAAAACGTACTCCTCGACAGCTAATGGACAAAAAAGATCTCACAAATTCCTGAAATACCAACAGATGTCAACTTTAAGAACAATAGAATCCCATATTATATCGTACCCTCTTGAAGATTAATCCCTTCAGATCCAGTTAGCATTTCTTCATGATGTTCTCGGTGTTGTAAACTTTAAATGGATTTTATATGGATTGCACTCTCTCGACCAGGTTTTAAAGGATTCTACTTCTCTGATTGCTATTAGCTGTATACAATATACATACATTAATCGGATTATTAAATGTCGGATCTAACTCAATTTCTCACTGAGCTTCAAGTTAACATTTTAATTACTTGATATGTATTGGGGGGTTGGCAGCCGAATGGGAATCCTGTCAAACTGATTAGAAACCCTTTTGTCAGCAATGGATTGGCTGCAGTGTCCAAATATGCTGTCATACTAATTACTATAGTAGTAATACTCCTAACTATCCTCGCGTCCTAATATGGCGTTTCTCCTGTCTTATATATTTAAATACATATAGTAGTCCTATTATAAAATCAGAAAATAGTGGTTGCATTTATTGGCTACTAGAAACCCGCTAGTCGAAAGCTTTGTTCGAGGAAATTTTAAAAATCAGTTATGTTTTAATTTCTCTTCATCATATAGCTCTGTTATACTGTAGACATAATGGAATTTATCTAACAATGGCGACAGCGTTGTTAGTATTCGGATTCCCAAAACGATACTTTTTACCGCATCAAAAAATACCAATCACAACCAAAGTTATGAATATAAGTCATAGCGTGAGCGTAAATGTGAGCTAGTTTTGAAATTATGACGTAGCATACAGCATAACAACGCGCGTAGTTAAGACTTTAAGATGTTTTTGCTCGCGCACGTGCATTTTAACGTTGCTACGCAACAGCGCAGTAAACCTTTGCTAAAATAACGACATTATTCTAACGGTTATTTTACCTCACTTCCGACGTTAATTATAAAAAATCTAAAGACTAAATCAAAATTCTAAGAATGCTATAGCCTATTCCTATCCTTTTTCTACAACCCTGCTAAAAATGGCGAGGTTTCAACTCCATTTGCGAGCTGGGTTTGATTTCACCAGAGGGTCATTTTGAGGTCGATTTTCGGTGTTTTTTCTTCTATGTCCCCGTTGCCGGGGAAATTTCGTCAAGTTTAAATTATAGTATAGATGTGTCACGCACTACATTTCATGCTGCCTACACTATCCTGTGTATTTCAACTCGAGTCGATGTGCTCATAACAAGCCGATACGTAATTTGTTCTCGGTTATGCGGTACTAATTGCCTTTTTATGTTGTGGCCTATGAAATACATTTTACCGTTTTTATGCCATACAAATTTATAAAACTTGTACTCATCAAGGCGACCTGTTGTCTCGTACCAGGTAATGTGGTTGGGCTTATAATAGTGGGCCAAAGAAATTAATTTGAAAGTTGCAAAGTTAAGGGGAGATTAATCTTGAACAAACGCGAACAAATCAGGAGCAACAAATGCGGGGCAAACTTTCAGGCAAGGCCCAGTAGACTACAGGGAGCAGTGCCCGGCACTCGGCATTGCTCGCTCGCTCCATTAGTTCATTCAATACTTATATAATTAGGCTAACTAATTCTAATGCCAGGTTAATTAAATACGGTTTGTAATTTGTAGAATGCATTAGTCGACATCTGACTGCTCTGAGCGAATAAAATGTATTACTCGGTTTGCTAATTAGTACGCTAACCAAATTAACCATTTCCCCGCAGTTTGTGCTCTACTGGCTGTATTATCTAATTCCCAGTGACAAGGTTTCACTGCAGTCTATTATTTCATTTTTCCTCAAATTGACACGTTAAGTTTGCTTTTGTTTGTGTTTCCTTGCAAGCTGGTAATTGTTCGGAATGTCAAGCAGACCAGCAGCAAAGCCCCGAGGGGCTGGGGCAGCTGGTAAAACGGGTGCTGCAAGCCGATCTAGCACTGTTAGTAAACCAGGGACCACGGGACGAGCTGGAGCAAAGGCCAGTGTATCTGGAAGGGGTGGTGCAAGGGGTGGTTCAACTGGTAGGGGTGGTAAAGCAGGGGCTGGTAAACGTGGTGGTCCGCAGAAATCTACTGCTGAGATCGCAAAACTTCCCCCTGAAGAGATCGAGAAATGTGACATTTCTGTTATTGAGAAGCTTCCTGCTAAAGTCATTGAGAAGCTCAGTCCTATTACGATTGCCAAGCTGAGTCCTGAGAAGATTGCGTCTCTTTCGCCAAATGTCATCAGCTCTTTAGATGCTACCATCATAGAATCACTTGACATTTCTGTCATTCAAACTTTAGATCCTGCCACCATCTCAAAACTTGGTCCTGACAAAGTAGAACAGTTGCCTCTAGAAACTGTGAGTAAACTGACCCCTGAATGTCTGAACACTCTACCTGTCTCCATTGTGTCTCAGCTGGAGTCCTCCGTTCTAAACACCTTGTCTCCTGATCTCCTCAACAAGTTAGAGCCAGATAAGATCAGAGAGCTGGACTCGGAGTGTGTGGCGTCTCTTGATACCAAGGTTCTCGAGTCATTAGGGACAGAATTCCTGATAGCCCAACCTGCATCAGTCCAATCAAAGCTGAGTAAAGAATTTATCCAACAGCTTAGTACTGCCAATCTCATGGTGCTGGATCCGTCGGTGTTCGATAAATGTGACATCGATTTCCTCAACGAAGCCGACCCCTCTATCTTGAACCAATTGAAGTCTTCTGTCTTAGAAAAGCTTAGTTTGAGCACTATCGAGCGTTTAGAGCCTTCAACAATCGAAAAGCTGTCTTTGGGTATCATCCAGAAGATAGACTACAGAATTATTGAGCAACTGAGTTCAGAGATAATCAGCATGCTGCCCTCTTCCATCCTCAACAATATCTCTCCCAGTGCGCTTGAAAAGTTGGACCCCACAATTCTGGACACGGTTGATGTGCCGGTTCTGGAGAAAGTGTCCCCGACTGTGCTCAGTAATTTGTCTAGTGACGTTCTTGAGAAGATGAGTATTTGTACAATCGCTAAACTTAACAAATCTGCCATTCAGAGGCTGAGTTGTGAGGTGGTTGAAAAGCTTCCTTTGGATGTTATACAAGGGTTAGATTCACAGTTAATCGAGAAACTGAGTGTCAGTGTAGTGAATCAGCTTGATCCAACTGTAATTGAGAAGTTGTCAACTGACGTTATCAACACACTCGACAAAGAGGTAATCTCTAGACTGAGTCCTGATGTGATTCAAGGTTTAGAGTTAGCTGTAATCAGTGAGCTGCCTCCAGCTACCTTGTCCAAATTGCCGTCAACCATCCTGCAGAAGTTGGATAAATCAGTCATTGAAATGTTGGAGCCGGAGATTATCTCCCAAATGGATCTTGCAGTCATTGAAACTCTAAAACCAGAGGTTTTATGTACCTTGTCACCAGAAATTCTGTCCAAGCTGTCAAAACAGGTTTTAGAAAGGCTGCCAATAGAATCGTTGCAACATCTTCCTCCGGATCTAGTACAAACCCTTAGTCGTGACGTCATAAAAACCCTAGACCCCTCATACATCTCACAGTTCAGTGTTGCTTTCATCGAAACATTGCCCACTGACGTTATAGAACAGCTCGACACTTCCGTCGTCAACCAACTGAGTATTCCAGTGATAGAGACATTGGACAAGACCGTGGTCTGTAAATTGGATATTTCTGTTATTGAGCAACTGGACCCATCTTTCCTTGACACTCTAGACAATGATTGTCTGTCCTTGTTAACACCACCTGTCCTAGCTAAACTTAAGTTAGAGGTACTTGAGGAGCTGGACCCCAGTATTCTCAACAAATTGGATGGTTTTGTGATCGCTAAGTTGAAACCGGAGGTCATTGAACGGTTAGATCCCGTTGTGATCGAGAAGTTAGCTCCGGAAGTGATAGAAACTCTGAGCCCTAGCGTGATCAACACTCTATCTGGGGATGTAATCAAGAATCTAGATGTTCAGATAATCAGTCAGCTTGATATTAAAGTAATCGAGACGCTCGATATAGAAGTTCTGAACAATTTAAGTGTTGAACTAATTGAACAACTTGATATTGATGTTATAAAGAAACTGGACCCATCAGTTCTCAACAAAATATCTAAAAGGGTATTGAAAAAGCTGCCGACCTACGTCATTGAGACATTAGATGTGAAGGTTGTTGAAGGTTTAGGATTGTACATAATCAAGAAACTTGACCCTCAGATAATCCAAGGTTTAAGTAAGAATACTTTGAATCAGCTGCCAGCAGATGTCATCGCCATGTTTGACACAGAAGTTATAGAGTCACTCCGGCCCGATGTCATTGACAAACTTCCAATTTCCACCATCCAGCGGCTCAGTGTTTCTACCATTGAGAAACTGGGGCCAGAAATACTCTGCAAGCTTGACATTGAGGTAATAACTCAGCTTGATCCTAAAATAATTGAGAAGTTGGGTACTGATGTTATCCGACAATTACCTGGTGATATCATAGCCAAACTTTGTCCTGAAGCTATCTCCAAACTGGACAAATCATCACTTGAGCGATTACCCGTTGAAATAATCGCGACACTTTCTCCGGCAGTGATATCCAAGATGAAGACGGAGATAATAGAGGCCCTGCCAATGAGTTGCATTAGAACCTTAACCCCCATCTGTATCGAGAGACTTCCCATTGAGACCATACAGAAGTTGGACGTGGGTTGTATTTCCAACCTCTCTGTGTCCATACTTAATCAATTGAGTTTGGAAACTGTAAAAAAACTTCCAGCAAAAGTTGCTGAACAATTAGACAGCTCCATTATTGAGAAGCTCCCCTTGCAAACGATAGAGGGATTCAGCATCTCAACAATCGAGCGACTGCCACCTGATGTCATAGCTAAATTAAATATCGACATCATCAAGAGTCTTTCTGTTGAATGTCTGGAAACTTTGGATCCTGAAGTGCTTAACAAGCTCCCAGAAGATATTCTAGCACAGTTGAATCCTGATATTATCGAAGGTCTCCCTTTCTCTGCTATAAAAGATCTGCCCCTGGAGAATATGCTGAAGTTGCCCATCGCAATCTTCAATCGTCAGAGAGTTGAAGACTTGGTAACTTTGCCTCTGGAGATAGTTGAGATGCTTGATATCAGAGTCTTATCTAAATTCCCAGCTAAGATTCTAGAGCAGTTGTCTCCAGCCGTCGCCATGCTTCTACCCTCTGACATTATCAGCAAGTTCGACCCTAACTTCATAGCAACTTTAGACAATAGCATTGTGGAAAGACTCGATGATGCAGTTTTAGAAAACCTCCCCCAAAATGTCCTTGCCAAGCTGAGTGTAGCTCGGCTGCAGTCCATATCACCTAAGGTTTTACAGAAACTTGACAGCAAGATAATAGAAAAGTTACCTTCGGAAGTGATAGAACGATTTGAAAAGGAAGTCCTGAACTCACTATCTCCCAGAGCCCTGAGAAATCTCCCACCTGAGATTTTAGAGGAACTTGACATTCAGGTCATAGAAAGTCTGGACATCCACACGATCCAGCTGCTGAAACCATCAGTCATAGAAAAACTTAGTCCCCAGATAATAGCTCTCCTTGATAAAGCAACAATTCAGCAGCTTAGTTCCGAGATAATCAGTCAATTGGACACTTCGATGATTCAAAGTTTAGATTCCAAACTAATCAACGAGCTTGACAATAAAGTTCTCAACAAGATGGAACCAGAGATTCTAAGTAAATTGCCACTGGGTAGAATTGCTACACTTGACGTGGATACCATCCAAAGATTGCCACTCTCCATCATCTCAGAAATGCCTGTCAACATCATTGAACAGATGTCTCGGGAGGTCCTAGAGAAGATGCCACTCAACAAGCTGGAGCATATATCTGACTCCCTCATCAGCAGTTTAACTGTCAAACTGCTGGAACACATGTCGATGAGGGACATGAAAAACCTAGACTCCAAGTTCCTCTGCAAGCTCTCCACTACAGTCCTGAACGAGCTCCCTCCGTCAGTACTCCGCAAACTGCCAGCTAACAAGCTGAAGCTCCTTGACATAGCAACTCTAGAGCAGCTGGATGTGTTCATCATAGAGAAACTCCCGTCTAGTCTGGTGGAACAGTTAGATAACAGATTAATAGAGCGACTCAGTCCGGAGATAATTGAAACACTCTCTCTCAGTACCATCTCCCAGCTTCCTCTTAGTACGATCAAACAGTTGAGTATCAAGACTATGCAGCGGCTAGATCCTTCTATCCTTGAGGGGCTACCGCTTAGTTTACTTGAACAGATGGATGTGGTGGTGATTCAAGAGTTGCATCCTAGGATAATTTCCAAGATGAATCCTGATATCTTTGGTAAATTAAGTGAGTCAGTTTTGGAGAAACTAGATCCTTCCGTCTTCACTAATATGAACCCAAGGAAAATAGAGGCTCTAAGCTTATCCGTGATAGAGACCATGGACAACTCCATAATAGAGAAATTGAACCCGAAAGTAATCTGCAAACTACCTCCAAAAAGATTGGACAAGTTAGATCCTCGATTGTTAAGTCGTCTTGATCCTAAATGCTTAAGAAAGCTCAATCCAAAAGTCATCGACAAGATAAACCCTAAAACTATCGAGCATTTGGATCCTAAAGTGATTGAAAAGCTAAATCCTAAGGTGATAGAGAAGCTCAACCCGCGTGTGATTGAAAGACTACATCCTTCGGCCATCAGTAAACTAAATACGAGAATAATCCAGAAGTTGAACGTGGCGGTTATAGAGAAGTTGCCAGGGAGTGTTATAGAGAGGTTATCTCCAGCGGTGCTGGTCCAGTTGTCACCTGCCGTCTTACATTGTCTGAAACCCACTGTGCTGGATGAGATCGAGAAGTATCTGTATAAACTGGAGATGAGGGATAGTAGAGATAGCTTCCCAGGTCTGGTACCTGATACCTTTCTTTCCTTACCTGCACTGTCACCTTTCTTTCCTTACCTGCACTGTACCTTTCTTATTTATAATGTTAGCTCCCTTACTATTTCCTTTCTTTTTATCAGTTCTACATGTGTTACCATGGTAACAAGTGCTCTGTTTCAGATGTGAAGTCAGTAGAACCAGCTGAAGAGTTCCACGATGCCCACGCACCAGAAAGGGAGGTTGTAGCAATAACTTCTGATGGTCACGTGGATAATCTGTCTAAAGCAGCTACTGGCTCCAGAATCCCTGCCCCTGCTAGGAGCAACGCTATTCCTACTAAACTACCGGTATGTACATTCACCACACATTACACAACTTTGAGTATTAATTTTACATCATCTTAGGAGAAATCCCAAAAAGGAGATTGCAAAAGAATTAATTATTCACTTCCTGTCCCCATGACACTGAGTCACCAGAATATTCTGATCACCTAAAATACATATCATCGCTATTCTACACTTAACACTGTCAGACAAATCTGCGGTGTATTGCTGCGGATACTTTTAAATAAGCTTAATAATTATACAAGTTTACATAAATTAGAATATTGCCTTGTTCAAATCTGAGACCAGTACAAAGTGAATAATTAAGTCTGTCTGCGTCAAATCAAATTGTCATGAAATGGTTACCCGCTAGTGGTAAGTTACAGTAACCACATAATCGCTAAACTGATTAATGTTGGTCACCGCTTACCATGGTTACGTAAGTGGTTACTATGGTTACGATGATTCCCTGAAATTAACCTGAAACTGTTTCAGTCCCCCAAGAAACACGCTGAACCAACTCTAACCCTCAACTCTAACGGCCTGTAAGTAGATAACTGGTCCACAACTTGTACAATGACGACTGTGTGTACTTCTACTATTACTTGTTCCACTGTTGTGTACATGTACTTGTAATTCTGTGTCTCATGTTGACCCAACTATAACTGTGCTGTGCTTGTACTTTTACTTTTATATCATCTTTAACCTTATTACGATGACAGAAATTGACTCCTTTGAAGTTTGAACCTGATTAATATAATATCACTGCGTTGTCATGTATTCGTGTATCATGATACAGTTCCTTTATACACTGTATATAATGTAGTTCTACTCTCCGCACTATATCAATAGTGAGCTGCAATAAGTCAATAATACATCCACATTACTTAGCTGTGTAGCGCTGAGAGGTCACGTGTTAACTGTATATTTGATACTCCAATACACACTGTCACGTGTAGTGTCCTAAGGAGCTACGTGTTCTGTTTGCTACTATTTTGTTTCAGCTCCCTCGTCCCTGCATGCCTAGAGAAAAGTTTAGTGTGCAGACAACATACAATTATTACAATTTTGTGCAGATAGGATTCATATCAGTTTGTTCAAAAAATATGTGGATGTGCAGTTAGAATTGCTCTTGTGCAGGCAACAAGGTTACCAGGTTAAGGCTTTTTCTACTCATGTGTCCCTCATACCATCACCATGGCTACGCGTATATATTTACATCCAATATATGAGAGATCTTCTCACATTGCGTTGTTTCCTCGTAAATTAGGTTATACTTATTCTTCGAAAGCTGAAGGTATCTCATATTTTTAATAATTCAATGGCTCTATATTAAATTTAGAGGTTTGTTTTATATACAATAAGTTGTTTCTTTTGTATACATTGAAAGTTGAACCGTGTAATAAATTGATCAATCCATATCCAGTTACATCGGAACTTTTCGACACTGGTACTGAATACATCCCATATACATTACATGGAATACTTTTTGTACTGATTTCTCTTTACATAATACATATTACATAAGAGGTTCTCTACATTATTATCTATATACCACTTTTCGCATCCCTACAAGTATAGTCACGGACCAGGGTAGAACATTACAGCGTAGGTGTGGCTACTAGTTAGTTATTCAACTGTGTTACTGTGCTTTTTGTCACATTGCATAATATCGTTGTTAAACCTCTGGTAAGTGGTGTTCAACTTTCCGAGGAAAATGTCTGTGTGTATTATTTGAACACACCTAACTGGGTTTTAAAGTTGTATAATTGTTTAACAAATAATTCTAATAATTCCTTGAAAAGTGCAGGAATCCTAATTTGTGGGTTTTTGTTGTTTTGATCGGAACAGCATATTATATTATTAATTGATTGAAATGACAAGTCATGTTACCGACCACGTGTCATGCTATTTAGCACGTGTCATGTTACCTAATCACGTGTTAATGATATAATTTGTAAAAGTGTGATTACTGATTATGTACCGTCATCCTTCACATGTTCACATGTACAATCTTTTAAATTTGTAAAATAGCAATTGTTGTTGTTCTCTTTATTTTTCTATTCAGTTGTTGGCTTTGTAAATTGTATAGTTACATAGTCTCCTCTATTACTGTGCTGTTATAGAAACTTGGCTCCTGATTAGGCTCCAATCACACTGGCAGTGCACATAAAAATGACAAATGTGACTACCTGTGCGAGCTGCCTATTTCATCTGACAATACTTTAGTACTAACACTGTGGTTCATTGTGTCCTTGATATAATGCTTGCCAATATCCAAACTTCCATCAGCTGTACATTTTAATGAATTACATTTACCAGTTGTCTGGTTGTCAAACTGTACACACTTAACAGTACATTGTCGTACACACGCAAATGCTTTTGTCTAACGTTAAAAGAAAAAGTGTAAAATAGCGTAGAAAAGTGTACCTTTTTTACTACACCATACATAAAAAGTGTAGTGTACAACCCCCGCCATCCCCCGCCCCCCCCCCCCCCCCCCCCCCCCCCCAAGCTGATTGGTTAATGGCTCTAAAAATTAATATTATTTGAAATCTTCCCACTTCTTTCAGGGATAATGAAAAGAACAACTCAGTAGAGGTTAAAGAACAGAACACTGCTCAGGTTGGTTAATCAGCACATTTATTGTACGATTATATAACTGGTCAGTGGTCATGGTAGTAATTCACCAGTCACCACCTTATCTGACCCCCAATTTAAGTAATTTCTTAGATTTACGAGTTTTACTTTCATCTGGGTGGAAAAGATTTAGCATCCTTTATACCTTCTTACCTTCTATTTTGTTGATTGAATACATCTGGTGGATATTTGAACGCTGAGAGTGTGATGTTGATCATTAAACTTGTTCCCAGTCTGCAATAGTGATATCAGCAAGATGTCACCCCTTTAACCTGCTGGTATGTAAGGTATGAGGTGGAGCGTGCATACAACCGCAGATCACTTGTTACTACTCAAATGTACCCATCAAGCACTTTGTGCCGTCTGATATACAGTAATTGTGAAATGTGAATAAACCCATATTTGGTCCTATATATTCATATTGTATAACACTACTATGTGCTCCACATCTTTAACTGTAGTCAACCTAGATCGTTCCCAGCTATCCTGTCTTTATTTGTTTTGTGATTGTGTTATAGTAGTTGCCCCATATTTGAAATATTGACCTGAGCTAAAAACTACGGACTTGCATTTTTAATCACTCTTGGACTCAAAAACAACACTGTTCAGGTACCAAACGTAAACAAAATGTCAATAGAATTGGTTACAACATCAAGCTCATGTCTCTATTTCAATGATCAGTAATTTCTTTAGTTTTTGTCTCAGCACACGTGACCAATGTTCACGTGACCAATGTTCACGTGACTCCACTAAAACCCACGTGACCTCCACAGACGTATTCAGAGGACCAAGTTGAGGCCTTGATTAATTCGGCCAGAAAGCAGGAGCGGGATCAGGTACAAGCCTCCATGTCATACCATACATGTGCATTTTATCATCATACTGTATGTGTACACTAGGGAGCATGGCCTGTTCCTAGAGCATGGCCTGTGTTTTTAAAGAATGGTTTGTTTAGACTAGACAATGTTGTTTGTTAGCTCATTTTGTTTTTTAAGCTTCCAACTCCGTTATGATTCATACATAACTCAAATTCCACTTATTGGAACACGCTGGGCCGCAAACCACTCTAGTTGCGCGTCCGTTTTTGGGCGGTAGTGTCAGTGCACGGTGTTACGAAATGAGCATGCTTGTGATTGTTATGCTGCATGTTGCAAATCTGAGAAACAGTATACTTTGAGTGTTTCATTTTACAGATATTATCTAACGGAAATATATTAATGTGGCCCGACCAAAATCTCACAATCTTATTTGTGTAGCTGTTTTGTGTCAAATGTTTGGGGGTTGATTCGAAGCTTTTTACACTAACGTTTCCAAATTTACTGGTCGAAGATCTAAAGCTGTGGTTCAGGTATCAAAACTGAATGTCCTGCTGTTTGAAAACTTAGATTTATGCACATAGCATTTCCGATAAACTTCTAGATTCATCCTATACTACATATATTATCTTCTTTAAAAATAAAGCAATCGCCCAATGCTCAATTTAATTTATAGTTACATACTAATATATATAATATATATAACACTATACTTGCCCACAGTGGGAAGCTGATAGAAGAGAACTAGAACTGTTAGTTGAGGAGAAAACCGACGCAGCTACCAATCCCGCTAGTATGGGTCAGAACTCGGACAACGGCCTGGTGCGTTATTTTAATCTAAATCATATATCGAATGCACTTCACAAGCCAATTTTGAATTGAAGTAATTTCCAATAAATACAGGGCATCTATTCAGTCTTGGGCTGGTATCAAAATACACTGTATAGATTTGTTTTTATTAAGGAGCTAGTTTATATGGAGAGTCATTACATACTCGGGGACACTACAAATTTTGTCCCAGAATCGTTACAACAATGCGACTAAAAAGTAATGTTCCGAGCCGGATATTACATTAGTTGCATACGATAAAAATACATTCTCTAACATTTTGTTAGCATTCTCTCACAATGACAAAGAAGCAAGCTGAGCCGTGCGATTTGAGACATTTTCATATTTATCGGTTTATATGTTTTAATTTTGTGTGAATTTTGATGTAAAAGTATTGTTCTGTAATATTTTAAATCTTTCTGACTGAAGTAAGGCCAGAGTCTCAATCAACCAATCAGAAAAATGGATGCCCTCTTACTGATCATGATTTATCTGCCAGGAGCTGAAGATAATGTCAGAGCTAAATAATGAGTACGCTGAATGTATGATGGCTCAGAGCAAGCGAACAGAAGACATTCTCTCAAAACAAATCAAGAAACTCAGTACTGACAACTCAGTATTGTTGAAAGAACTTGATGTCATGCACTCAGCTATGTCAGATCTTCATAAGAGATATGATCGCGCTAGGGGCATCATCAACCAAATGAAAAAGGTAAAACTCCCAAGGAATTTTGTCCCAGTTGTCTTCTCGAGGAGTTGTTGTGAGCGCCAACTCTATTCGCAAATTTGAAAATATTGAAATTTGTGACCCTAATTTTACTCATTATTAACAGTAATTTGTTTAATCAGAGAGAAGACACCCTCGAAGAAGAGATTAGACAGTGCCAAGAAGAACTGAGGAACTCAGAGGAGAACTGCCGCTACATCTCCAAAACTTGTGACGACAAACTCGAGGAGTAAGTTTCCTTCTTTCAAATTATTTTTAAATTTCATTCGTCCCTAAAATTTTGTGTGTGAGTTTTATATCTCTTTTTATCCCAACATTTGGAGTACGAAACGTGTTAAGAGTTCGAGTGATATCTAGAGGTTATGAATTCCTTGTGATTTATTTATCTCCTTTAACTCTTCAGAGCAAACACGCGTATTGACATGATTAAACAAGAAACAGAAAAGGGCACAATTATGATGGAGGCCTCTATAAAGCGACTCGAACTGGAATGCAAGTCATGGCACTCCAAATTCCTAGATAAGGTATGATTCATCTGTGTTAATTTATGTTTTTTCCTAACTACATGCTTCTCCCTAACTGCATTTACTTTCTAGTTTCTCGTTCTATCCCAAATAGAAAAATTCAACACTGGATGTTTCAGGAGAGCTCAGAGAAGGAGTTGATAGCGATCTGCGACAGTTTGATGGGCGTGAAGGAGCAGGAAATGGACGAAGAACAATAGTCACGTGATGTGTACATGTTAACACGTGGTTAATTCTCTTCATTGATACAACTTCAGACAAAACCCGGCCTTCAGCGCCAGTCCCGCGCAACGCGGTAAAATAAATCTGCTCAGGGACGATTCAGAAATTTGATAATAGTAGAAATTAGGAAAATTTGTTACGTTCAGCAAATGTCTGTGTACGTGAAATTGCGGCCCAAGCCGGATTATTTGAACTCCGATCACCGTCTGGATAATTTAGGCTTAATTCACACTTCACAAGAATGACGAACAGTGATTTGAGGTTTAATTGGGTTACAATCTTTATACCGTGTTCTGAAGCATCAATCTATCTGTTTTTTGTTGATATTTGTTGTTTGATATTGTTTTTAAAGGATCCATCCTACAATTATAATGCAGTTGGTCCGGATAAATTCATGTTATTGACTTCTTGATCTTTGATTCAAGATTACGAATTGTAAATGTTACGGGCACTTTGAGATCAATGAAGTTGCTAAGAGTAACATGGATATACACTTCCTTTAATAGGTTTTGGGTATGTTGATTTTAAGTGATGCTCTATCGACAATCGAAGTATATTAGTATTACAGTACTATTTGTATTTGTACAGTTATTGTACCCAATAATATTGATATTAAATAAATTTCTTTTTAAATTTCAATGAGTTTTTTATTTCACAATTTATGACTCTTAAAAAGGTTCTGGAACGTCACATTCATATTGGAACACTAAACAATTCACCAAATACCTTGTACTTTTCTAACAATTCCTAGTTATGAGAACATCTTGCTTCTTCCCTCTTTGTTTGGTTTGATGAGCGAGTGAAATTAATAAAAATGAGCATACTGTATCAGTATGCAAATAACAATTTGAATTACACTATAAGATGCTGGTAATTAAGAGCAATCTCAACTTTCGATGTATATATTTACAATAACATTTCGGTGAATGTATTCGTGTGAAGTAGTCGAACATGTAGATTGATACTCTGCTGTGTAGTGTAGTGGGGCGATATAATTATATGCAGCTGTTCATGAGTAAGGGTGGTGTCTGAGGTTGAAAACTCGTGTAATAAGAACATGACTAAAACTAATTTAATTAAAGACTAAGAGTAAAGAGTAATAATATTGTGGTATATTACTATAGTATACAGAATAGCAGTATTATATATAGAGTGTACATGTATATTGTATATAAGATTTATTCACAGTTTGCCTAGCAGTAGCTGGCTAGTCTATTAGTATTGCTCGCTCCTTACACGTATCATATATGCGAAAAGAGCGCCGCGCATTGTATTGGGACTGGACGACTGGTGTGCCAGGTAAATTCACGTTTTTCATAACATATCAATATCATCAAAAAGTCTTTGCTGCTAGTACTATGCGTACGTGTAGCTTAGTAGGCAATATACCTGTTGAATAATACTAATAGGAAAAGGACTATAGAACAGCTGTAATTATATAATTTATTAAATACTTTTCAAATTTTACAGAGTACAGCAATAAATGAATATAAAATAGAATCGTTCAAAATATCGCCCCCATCTGTAAAATATGATGGGCAACCAAACACGGTAAACATTGATACATGTTTCGTATCCATCGGCGCTTTGCGCGCGAAAAGTGGCATGCAACGTATAGTATGTCAAGGTAAACACATAAGTGAACTATGTCCGCTATTACTTGGACCCAATACATCGAATTAATCTAAATCCAAAAATTTATGAAAAACTATTTAATATTAATAACAAACAAATCCATTGTTGACGCATGTTACTCGTTACTGGGCCGCGCTCAGCCGGTCATTCCGCCTAATCTCTATTCGTTAACAACATTAAAGCCTGGGGTCCTCAGGTAAGTTACTCGTCTCAATTTCTTCGAAGTACTAGCGCGCGCCGCTTTCTTCTCGAAATGGCCCGATGGAACGTGCTACGAAGTAGCGCGCGCCGGGCCAAATCATTAACAATTAACAATGGTCAAATCCATTGTGAATAATTGTGGATATAGAGTCAAAATTGGTATTTCAATACGTCAAATTCCAAATACATTAGATACAAGTCTGATATGGTCATTATAATGTGAGAAGGTGTGTTGAAAGTATAGGAAGGTAGATAGAAAAAATAAATAAACAAATAATAATAATAATATGGGAAGCAACGAGATTAGGCTAGACTGTTGTTTCACTATCCAATATACATTTCCATAGATGCTTAGTGACCTCAGATTCGAAAAGACTAGTAGACACAATCTGTCTTACCTGTAAAGGGAGTCCATTCCACAGTATATCAATATGGGTTTTACTTGTATCACGTGGTGACCCCCACGGTCGCTTCACTATAGCGTCTTCGACGCTACAGGGGGAGCCGCGCACTTCGTGCGCGGCGGGTCATACAACGTATGACAAGGTTTTACTTGTCATACGTTGTATGACCCGCCGCGCACGAAGTGCGCGGCTCCCCCTGTAGCGTCGAAGACGCTACACTATAGTGAAGCGACCGTGGGGGTCACCGCGTGATACAAGGTTTTACTGGGCGGCGCTCAGCCTGTCATTCCGCCGAATCTTTAATTATGAACATAATAGCTTGGGGTCCCCAGGTAATAGTAGAGGCTCTTACGGGCATTGTCTGCTCGATACGTTAGGGACCCCAGATACACCTTACTAGACGTATTTTTGACCGTAGAATCGATTGAAAGTGGTTTCAAGATGATTGGACTGATTGTTCTGGGGTAAAATCGCAAAAAACCGATTTTTGGGCCAAAAATAGGCCAAAAAAACCATGTTTTTTGATATTTTGAGCAAGTTAATTTTGTTGGCATGTCGGCAAAACTTGCATAAAGATAGCTAAAAGACAGCCGCACAAGATTGTATAAAAATAAAACAAATCCCTCTATTTGTTCTGAGGTAAAAATCCAAAAAAGTGGTAAAAATTTTGACTTTTTTGCTTGAAGTTTGAATAATTTTTTGCAGTTGTATTAAATCAACCCAAAAATAGTCACATCGTGTTTGCCTAAATTTTTCCTTTCCGAGAAGTACCCACTTCATATACTTTATCGAAGTTTGAATATTTTCACTCCGCAAGCGTTTTTGCCAAATTTTCGACGCGCACTACGCGCAAAAGCATTTAGTTGTTATCAATTGGCACCCGCGCGTTCATCATAAATTTCAAACAGCTATAACTCAGCGAGATTATGTCCGTTCTAGCTCATATTTTCACACTAAATAGAAAATAATGTGATCTTATTGCTGACAAAATATGAATATAATTACTCTATTTGCCTTAGAGTAATAGACTGTCAAAGTTTAAAACGCGCATTGGTATAGCACGTGACTAATAAGGCCAAATTTATACTTCTTAACATATTATCGATCCTTAGACATCATACTATTGTGTCCAATTAGCGGTTAGGTCTCTAAACTCGTAGCAGAAAACACGTCTTTTTGCCCGTAAGAGCCTCTACTATAATATGGGTTCTGCAGAAAAATGATTTTGCCAGTGGACTATTTGAGGTACGTACAGATGGTGTATGAATTCTGACTTAACTTAGGTAAAATTGATGACACAATAGACAGACTGTCGAGGTGGTAACAGCCGTATAATTATAGCAGTATAAGGGTCTGCCCACACTACGCCATGTGGCGACGGGCCACATGGCCCGATTAACCTAAACACACTGTGCCACTTGGCGTGGATTTAGCAAATCCGCGCCTCTATTCAGAGGCACGGATTTCCTGCCCACACTACGCCATGTTGCGACGGGCCACATGTTACCTGGGGACCCCAGGCTATTATGTTCATTAACATAGAGATTAGGCGGAATGACAGGCTGAGCGCGGCCCAGTAAGCCACATGGCGTGGGTCAAAAGGCACAGTGTGTTTAGAGCTCCCGCCACTAGTCACCGGATTCACACAACGAGGCGCGTAGTGTGTTTAGAGCGGATGATAATTAATCACTCTACACTCGACTGTCACGTGACTTTTTCAACCCGTTCTCTAGCTGGTCCTGAACGACTATTCGAAATCTTAACCCTCTTATCTGATCCCAACCCTAACCCTAACCCAATCCTTAACAAAAGCATATGCTGAAACCCTAACCCTAACGAGAAATTAGACTAACTTCCTTATACGGTCATATCACGTGATCGAGACAGTTTTTCGCCTATATCTCGTCAGGGGAGCATTTTAACCCTGTCATGGGGGGTGATTCGTAATCAGCGTCTGAAAATACATCGATTGAAGTTGGTTTCAACTGTCGGGGGCCCTTTTAGAACAATCTCGAAGATCGACTGTAGAGTGATTTAGTACGCTCTAGTAGAGGCTCTTACGGGCAAAAAGACGTGTTTTCTGCTACGAGTTTAGAGACCTAACCGCTAATTGGACACAATAGTATGATGTCTAAGGATCGATAATATGTTAAGAAGTATAAATTTGGCCTTATTAGTCACGTGCTATACCAATGCGCGTTTTAAACTTTGACAGTCTATTACTCTAAGGCAAATAGAGTAATTATATTCATATTTTGTCAGCAATAAGATCACATTATTTTCTATTTAGTGTGAAAATATGAGCTAGAACGGACATAATCTCGCTGAGTTATAGCTGTTTGAAATTTATGATGAACGCGCGGGTGCCAATTGATAACAACTAAATGCTTTTGCGCGTAGTGCGCGTCGAAAATTTGGCAAAAACGCTTGCGGAGTGAAAATATTCAAACTTCGATAAAGTATATGAAGTGGGTACTTCTCGGAAAGGAAAAATTTAGGCAAACACGATGTGACTATTTTTGGGTTGATTTAATACAACTGCAAAAAATTATTCAAACTTCAAGCAAAAAAGTCAAAATTTTTACCACTTTTTTGGATTTTTACCTCAGAACAAATAGAGGGATTTGTTTTATTTTTATACAATCTTGTGCGGCTGTCTTTTAGCTATCTTTATGCAAGTTTTGCCGACATGCCAACAAAATTAACTTGCTCAAAATATCAAAAAACATGGTTTTTTGGCCTATTTTTGGCCCAAAAATCGGTTTTTTGCGATTTTACCCCAGAACAATCAGTCCAATCATCTTGAAACCACTTTCAATCGATTCTACGGTCAAAAATACGTCTAGTAAGGTGTATCTGGGGTCCCTAACGTATCGAGCAGACAATGCCCGTAAGAGCCTCTACTACTCGGTTTAGAGCTCCCGCCAGTTGGCGTGGAAACTCTCGGTGCTCGGGGAATAAAGGCACGGATTTTAAAAATCCGTGCCTCTATTCCCCTTGTATTGCTAAATCCACGCCAAGTGGCATAGTGTGTTTAGATAGACGGGCCACATGGCGGGAGCTCTAAACGTACACTGTGCCTTTGGCTTTTGACCCACGCCATGTGGCCTGTCGCCACATGGCGTAGTGTGGGCAGACCCTAAAGTAAAATATGGATCTTATTAATAATTACATTTTTATATTTTATAATAATATATGTAGTAAAATAAATACTAAATTTTCAATGATAAGAATTATTTTATCGCAGATGGTGAATTTCAGAGATGTTAACTCATTTGTGCTTTGCAGAGCTAATCCAAAAGCCAGCAGAATTGGAAAAATAGCGCAAGTTTAACACATTATGTATTTGATTATACATCAACAAAAGATCATTTACCTACTGCACATGACCGTTGCAAA